CTTTCGGACCCACAGCTTCCTGAGCTGCAGAAAGTGTCCCCACAGCACGAACGGGAGTAGTTAGCCGTGAAGCTGACACCAGCGCACTACAGATCCCTGCGGAATTAGGCTGTCGCCAAAGCTGTGATCCTGGGCCTGGCATTCTATGAGCCCCGACTAAACTTGGGACGAATTCAGAGTTGCGTGGAGATTCCGAGCGTGGCTGGCTCTTCCACCTCCACCTGAACTGTTTGAACTCTAGTTAGACAGACGAAGGTAAGTTTGCAACGCTTCCCTTCGGATTATACAGTGGGCGTTTGGCACTCTTGGCGGACTCAGGATCTGGTTAGGCGCTTGTCGGAAGTCTTGATGTGCCTGAGATAAGGACATTGGCCGGAAGAGTCAGCAGTTCCAAGTTGGCTTCTTCTTTTTTGCGGGGCCCTCAAGGACTGTAGTTGCGAAGCGACTTTCGTTGCGGGACGTGTGGGTCTGTCCGATCGGGTCTGCGTTGCGCTTCCAGTTTGCAAGGGTAAGCGCTTTGAGAGTGCTTGCTGGAGATGTGAGGTCTTGATGGCTTGCTCCATCGACCAGGTCAAGACCATGCCGGCCATGATCGCCGAGCGCCGCAGCATGATTCTCCAGGGTCTTGGAGTTGACTTCCGTGATTGGTCTCTAGCAACGAATCAGCTGACTCGCTCGGCCATGCAGGAGGCAAACAAGCACTTGAAAGAACAGCCACTCTCTCCCTTCCGGGTCTCTCACTTCGGCCAGGCGGAATGTCATGAAGTTGGAGACCTCTGAGGTCACCTGCCCGCCTTGTACAGGGGCTTCTTGAGCAGTCCTGTCTTTTCTTTGCGAAGTTGAGCATATACCAGGCGGCCAGACGTCTGTCTTGGGCAAATAGAAAGTCTGGTGCTGGATGCCCGGCCAGGCCTTGTACAGCGAGTGGGCCTACATCCTCCCGGTCACCCTTATGAGTGCGATGCAGGCCGCGGTGCGGAAGCAGAAGCGAAGATGCATTGGACACCAGAGGGTGAAGTTAAGCAGCAGTTCCTGACAGCTGAGAGATACTGTTCCGTGGTCGCAGGCAGTCGTGACGCACTTTGTGCACCTCACCAGCATTGATGCCGGCAAGAGTTCAAAGTTCTTCTCTGTTAGGATAAGGCGGGCATATTCTGCGCATCGTCCAGTCCAGGCTCACAGAAGTTGTCCGTGCTAATGCAGAACCGACACACGAATCACCGTGGACGTATGTGCTTCAGGTTCATTGCGCTTCTTTGGCCGTTCCTGTCATTCCCTGTCTCTCTCTTTGGGCCTCTTGGCCGGCAATGCAGATCCAGCTATGCGGCCTTGTGATAGTTCCAGCGAGAAGTTCGTTTGGCATAGCGCGGGATCGATCAGGGCAGCCTTCTGCAATGCTGCAGTCACTGGTCGTGTTGGCATCCCGTTAGGCAGGGCGACGCGTGCCTCAGGCATGTTTGGTTTTGGTCGCTGATGGTCAACATGGTCATGGACAGCCTTTACGTCATGCTCTCTGGCATCGCCAAGGACGACCTCGAAGTTGTCGTGTTAAGCCCCCGCCCTTGAAGCCGATGAAACCTCTTCGCAACGGGTTTCATGCCAACGCCCAGCAGTCCTTGCTTTCCATAACCACAGACAGGCGATCAGTGATGAAGTTGCCGTCTCGACTTGTGAGGATGCGACGATTGCACAGATTATGTCGCTACCTTTCCTTCTCATCTTCATGCTCTACAACGGTAGCTTGGCATATTTGGTCGAGTTGTGCCCATACGAATGTGGCAGCTGCCATGCACGCAGGATGATGTTGCTGTAGCAGGCTTCGTGTTTATTCTTGACTTTGTATTTCGTGAGGTGCCGATGTATGCGTTCGGCGTCGCTCGAAGGTAAAGGATCTTGTAATCAGATGGGCAGAAGTAGCCTAAACCCTAAACCCTAAGCCCTAAACCTTAAGCCCTGAGTTTCCGGCGAGGGGGCTTGTGGCTCGCTGCTGCAGGTTTCACTGTTTATCGGACGACATGCCCGAAGTGGCTGCTCTGGGCATTGAACATCTCTCCAGTGGCCTATGCGATGGAAGCCATTACAGATTCTTGGCCGGGAACTTGTGTCGACAACTATTCTGTCTAACAGGAAATGAAGCTTATCTTTGCGACATAGGCGGGAACTGTTGCTATATGTTGCTATTAATGCATGGTCTGTGCATGTTGGATCCATAACCCTGAAGCTCCGCTGCATCAGTCCTTGGTGGCAGCCTGTCGCTGTAAGACATGGATTATGCATCTTTACAGGTTGCGGTCGCCAAGCCGAAGCTGCATTCACTTCTCGTATATAATCAACCACAGTGCTCGATCCTGAAACTTGCTCGATCTTGAGACAGGTTTCACAGACATGAGTGCATGTGCACTGAAGCCCCTCCGCAAGAAGAGGGGCGAAACGGGTTTGAGATCATCAGGCTTCAACATGTCGGAGTCCAGAAGCTTCTCATTGCAGAGGGCTTGCGCGATCGAGACATGTCTGTCGGAAGACGCTTCAGCTACTGCGAGCTTCAGCCATTCCTTCCCAGATCGCAGCTGCGCGAATTTGCGTCTACGATGGGCCTGCATGCGGGAAGGACGGGCAGCTGTTGTTAATTCACGGAATCGTCTCGGAACTGCTGGCAAGAGGCAGATGAGCACTGCCAGCACTATTTCGGAAGGGTGCGGTTAGTTGAGGTGACACGGGATAGCGCGGCAGCACGGCATAGCCATCCATTCCATGTCCATTCAATCGAGCATCGTATCTCGCTATGACTGTGCCGAGCATCAGACGATATGAGCCGTCAAACTTTTCTGCAGAGTACTCGTAGCAGGACTCGCTCTACCCTGCCCCTCGGCCGTGGACTGGTGGGCTTGGCACATGTTGGTCAGGTCAGGGGTTATCTGTCAGATGTCATGTGTGACCTTCCTTTCACTACACTTTCACGAAGATGCTTGATCCGCTTGGGCGCCGGAGGCGAGGGTCTGCACACAAAAGAGAACGGATAGGAGCACTACATGAGTCGTACGTGCCGCTGAGCCCAAGTGTTCATGTTGCGACCAGCCGAGGCAATCCTCGGGCAGTTCAGCTACATCGAGCAAAGCCCGAGAGCTATCGTGGTGCACTGGCATTCGAAGTTAAGAGCAGCATGTAAGATTCATGTAAGGCCGTGCTGTGGAGACCTGAAACTGCGGAGACCTGAAGCGGGACATAGGTTCTTGTCAGCCACGGTCTTGCCTCTACGCAGGTGATGTGTGCTGACATCCTCGTCTTCCGAGCCGTTCATATGGTTTGTCTTAAATTCCTCAACAACATCCGGAGGCAGAGCTCCGCAGTACAGCAAGAGTGTTGCGGGCGACTTTCTGCTTTGAAGTTCTTTTGAGTTCTGAAAGCTTTTGATGCCAGCTGATCCCTGAAGGTGAGAGTGTAAAGAAGCATGGACCTCCAGTGGTGATGCACAGCTGCGGCTTCTGCCACATTTTGAGACAAAGGCTCATGGCCCAGGCCAGAGCCTTTGTTCCAAGCACCGTTCTGTAGCAGCTTCGCCAAAGGCGGTGTGAATTCCCAAATGCACCCTATAGTCGCGTTCAGCTGTCTGTGTGCACCCATAATATGGGACAGGAACAGGTGCCTTTTGCCATGGATGTCAGATACGATGCATGTTGCACGCAGTGGTTAGTGATGGTTAGTGAGTCTGAAAGCACATACCACAGTGGCTGTGCCTCCGGTCGTCATAACCTGTCGACTGGTCGGTGCCTTCTGGCGCCTGCCAGGCATAGTTTTAATAAAGCTCTGCTTAGTTATGCACTGGTGTGTTGCCAAGCAGGAGTTCGCCCGAACACAGCAGAGCAACGGCCAGGACAGCTGCGTCCAGTTCTGAGATGGAGCACTTCGAAAACATGTTCTAGATTCTAGATCTCATGCTTTGACCAATCTAATAGCTTTTGACGGTGCTTTACTGGAACTACGATCTTTACCATGCCGGACTCTGGGCATGCGGCACACCCTGCGAGACCAGCACAATAGTGCTGTCTCCCTCCGCGCGTGCTGCACAAGACGGCGATTTTAGGGGCCTGGAAGGGTAGCGCATAGCTGAGCACACCCTCGACACGTCACATAAGCCAGGACGGGCTGACAGAAGGTAGCTGGTTGCATGTCACACTGTAGACACTGACAGCGGCCATGCAGCTCTGCATCTGCAGATCTCCAGCCATTCCCGATCCTGAAGTCCCCAACCATGCATGGACTGGCTTTGCCAATCTGTGGGCACTGCGAAAAGTGCGTGCTGCCGCTGCTTTCTCTGATGATACGTCGTGTGCTCAACATCTGCAGCTTGGCCACGAGCAGTATGACTTGGCCTCCACGTCTGCGCGTGAAACAGCTCACCGCTGCATGCTAGTGGTCCAAGACTGAGCTCCGTCATCAGCTCGAAGGTGAGTTTGGCCTGCCATGGGTGACGACCTGGCAGACCTCAAGAAGCGAATCGAAGAGTTGGAGAGAGAGAAATGCCAAGAGAAGGAGACGTTGAGACTGTAGGAGGAACTGGCTCGATCTATTCAGGGTAGCTGTGTTCCAACTGCCATGGTACATCTTCTATCTACCTATCTACCTATCCGTCCTTCTGTCTATCTATCTGTCTATCTACGTATATCTAAGTGGCTAGCTATCTATCGATCTTTCTATCTATGTGCCTATTTGCATGCAGGCACTTCGGCCTGTCTGGACGCATGTGGGTAGGCGGGTAGGTGGAGTGGAGCATGACTCCTTCAGGAGAAGCGGAAGGCAGCCGATGCCAGACGGAGGGAAGCCGAAGCTAATCTGGATTGGCAGTTTCGGTTGAAGCGCAGCCTGGAGGACCGGCTAGGACTGGATGGACTTGTAGGTATGACAAGTCTTGCAGGTATGCTTGAAACTTGGAGGACGCAAGTGACAGATCTGCAAGGTTCAAAAGCCTGGATGTGTGCTTCGTGCTGGACTGTACCCAGTCCATGCAGCCTGTCATCGACGAGGTCAAAGAGCAGATCATGGCAATCAACGAGCAGATCGAGAGTCCCGCCGCAGTTTTTTGCGAGTGAAAGCCTCTCTCGTTGCTTACAGGTTACTTAGCGGTGGAAGGTTGGTTCCAGCTGAGGAAGAGGTTGAACGGAGGAGCCGCCGTGAGGTATGCCATGGTTTGTTACCGGGATTTCGACTGCCCCGATCATCCTGTGGTATTGCCGTTTGGGGATGCGCTTGCCTGCAAGCGCTTCCTTGATGGTGTCCAAGCAAAGGGTGGTGGAGACTGGTGCCTTGGCTCTTCAGAGCGTTCACGACTATGGAAGTTACACACGTTGTGGCCTGCCAAGGTGTGAGGACGTTCTGACAGGGTTGGAAGCAGCCGTGAACCTGGAGTGGCGCGGACATATGCGCCAGCTTTTCCTTATTGCCCAGACACCGAACCACGGGCCGCGCTTTCATGACAAAAGTCCAGGAGAAGCTTACGCAAGGGGGCCTGTCAAGCTCTTCAACTACGATGACCATTATAACGTGAACACGGACCAAGCCGACGGGATTTTGAAGTCCATGGCCGAAAAGAGAATTGGCTTGCAGTGTCTGGAGATCTCGGGATCAACAGCCAAGATGTTTGAGGCTTTCGAATCCGTTTACAACAATAAGGATGAGGGGCTTGTCATGAAGGTTCACAGCATGACCTCTGACTCGGGATCGATATTATCCACCATTGTCAAGGCATCCTGGAGCTCCGTGAAGGAGTCCTTGACGCAGACCTCTGCATCGCTTGTGACCGCCCAGGACACGTGGGTACCCCAAAAAATAGCCTGCCACCCAACCATCGATTTGGACAGCAGGTCCGGGTGGAAAATGTTTGAAGCCACAATCGAGTCCATCGAGGTCGATGCTGCAGTGGAATCCGATCGGGTGCAAGATGACAGTCACCGTGACTTCAAGATTCACGAAGTCACGACCAACGTTTGGATTGCACCGAAGCTTTCAGCCAGGGAGCCATGCGTGCTGCCTTTGCCGTTTTCAACGAGACCACCAATTAGCGACTGGTGGCGAAACGCTACATGAACCCAGGCCCAAGGTACAATTCCCGCGAAGCCTTACTGGGAGATCTTCGATCACAAGCTCTGGCGAAGAGAATGACCGAGCGATTCAACCGGCGAAGACCCCGAGAAGCTCCACTGTACTTTGTGCAGTCATCCCTAATGCGCATCACTGTCGCAGGCAGCGAGATGCTCATGACGGTGGAGCCCTTCATCGCGGGAGAGTACCGTAAAGAGACTAACAATGCGAGCTTCGTGCGAGAGGGCTCTGATGTTGCCCAAGCATTCACCCATTTCACACATGATGTGTCAGGTGGGGACGTAATGGTTGTGGACATACAGGGAGTGCGTGAAGCTTTGACAGATCCTCAAGTTCACAGCAAGCGGCAAATCTTTGGACGAGGAAACATGGGCCCAAAAGGTTTCGATTCTTTCTTCATGGTGCACCAGTGCAACCACATCTGCAAGGCCCTGCAGCTGAAGCCGAATCCTTTGCAAGTATGTGACATTCCACTCAAGAGCTTCGGCTCTGCTTGTCCCTGGAACCTCGGAAGATAGACAAGACGTGCGGGCTTGGAGTGTCATCTAACATCTAACATCTGTGCCTGGTTTCAACCCTGATCCGTAGCTGAGGAGCATCTACTCCATCCGCAAGTCAGCTGCAGCCGTTTTGCGAGAGCGGAAGCAGGATCCAGTGTGGATTGCGGGTGTGAAGCTTGCTTGGCACCCTCACCGTAATGTGCCCGTAGTTCTCGCCCCTCGGATGATGATTTTGTGGTGGCAATTCAAGTAACCGTGTGCCGTTACAGATACCTTCGGACAAGCGAGGAAGTGAATGGCAGGGTCACGGCATGGATCAAAGATGTCGCCTCTCTGCCGAGCTCTTCCGTCCAAGTGCCGTCAACTGTTGCCAAGAAGTGTCCTCGCAAAACTTTTGTGTATAAAGAACACCGCAACAGACGCTTTCGGAAACCCTGTCCTACTTCGAGATCGCGGGATGTGCAAAGATTGCTCTGTCTGCCCTCGTCGTATGCCGCAAGCTCGCGCGCGTCCGTCAGCCAGTCTCGCTGGGTTGCACCCTGGTCCGTGCTGCGCAACCAGTCCAAGCCAGTCTGACGGTTGCCGGTCCAGTGACGACTGCGACACAACAGAGGAAATAAAGATCTCCTTCCATGGTCCCTTGAATTCTACAGAGGTCCACGAGCTGGTGCCACGGTTGCTGGATTCAGCAATGGAGGCCAAGAAAGAGATACAGGTCGATGCGCCAGAAGAGACTTTGCTTCGATGGCCTTGTCGCGCCAATTGTGGTTCGTTTGCCGAGCGTAAGCTGAAATACAATGGGGCCTTTCCGACAGCAGTATTTTGCTCCCAATGCAGCCAAAAGCGCCGTGACAGCTGGCGTGCCCGGGTTTGCCGGGCAGCGAACTGCCAAAACTACGTGAAGTACCACGTTTTTGAGCTCCAGGTCATGCACCTTCCCGAGCCGAAGCTTTGCATTGCATGCAGCAAGCTGGAAGGTGTGACGTACAAGATGCAGAAGGGGGGCGAGGATATGTGGCGCATGAAGAAGTGCCAGAAGTGCAGGCAGCAGATGGAGTTCTATTTGCCAGACGAACCTGTGGATTGCAGCGACTGTGCCCAGAAGGCGCCAGTTTCCGGCACGGAAGAATCGGAAGGAGTTGCTTCGGTGATAGACTCCAGTGAAGCTGAAGATTCTGACGATGATTGGTCGCTTGTCTCTGAATCCTTGCCATCAGTTGCAAAGTATCTGAGCAAGGAGGAGTGTGAAGAATGCTCTGCTCAAGTCACCGAGAAAGGCCAGCGGTTCACTTGCCAATCTGCTAAGCACAGCTTCTGTCTCTGCGGGTCCAAAGGCTGCTTGAAGAAATTCGAGAAAAAATGTGAGGATGCAGCCGGGAAAAGGGGTAAGAGTGGCCAGAAGAAGATCGACTTCGCGAAGCATCGAGGTTCTTCGCCTTGCCCTCTTTGCGGTCTGCTCCTCACTGAGGGCCCAGTGAATTGCGAGCAAGAATGTGTGATTTCCGGCACTGGCCCGACTTGCTTCCCTTGGGGCACGCTGCTGATCGTGCCTGGCCCGGATGGCGCACTAAAGCCCATCCAAACCTTCCGTCCGAACGACACGCTCATCTCAGCACAGGGTCATTGCGTAAAGGTGAAGGTGATTGAGCACTCCGAAGAGGGAGACCAGGAACGCACAGCAGCCTTTGTCGCTAAAACCCATGGCCAGACTAATTGGATGTTGTACAGCTGTTATTTCAATTATGCAGGAGCTGATTTCCTTGCAGACGGCGAAGGTTTTCTGGCTGCAATGATTTTGCACAGCATGATTCCATTCTCCTGGCTGTTGCTCGTTGCACTGAGGCCAGCCTGTTGGTAACGAAGGGCCATCGAGTGATGGTTGAGCGTGGAGACCGCGCACAGCCCCTGCAGGCAGCTGCGATTCAACTTGGAGACCATGTTCTGATCTCGGGAGGGGGCAAAGAGAAGCTGGTAAAGAAGGAGCTCCTGACGATTCGCACCGTCCTGGTGGATCTGGAAGTGGCTCCGAACGAGCCTTTGGCGGCGTTTCCACCACTGCCGGAGGCGATCCAAAGCATGGGTCGCGAGCAATCTCGCACAAGACGGGGGCGCAAACCGGCAGGCAACGAGACAGAGAGTTGGGAGAAAGTCAGCATTCCCAACACAGATGACGGCTTTTAGACTGGACCAACCTATCCCAGGTAGGCAGGGCCAGGCCAAACTCCGACTTTAGAGAGCTTTGTGCACAGCTACGGCTGGTGCCGAAGCTCGTCTTAAGCGGGCCGCTTCTTTGCTGTATAGTTTATGCTGTCCACCTGGATGTGAGTACCGGCTGCTCCGATCCCAACGCTTGCCGCGGGGGTCATAGGCCTCAGCTGTCGCCATTTTCAAGCTAACAGCTGCCTTCAGGCATCGAAGGCATGTGGCCGAGTGCTTTTTCTTCATATTTCCATGCAATGCAGGCCATCATATTCATCAAAGCTCACAGCTCCAGAACGGCCAGCTTTCGTGTGCCATTAAGGATTAGGTGCCTGGGCCTTCCTCGCCAGAAGTATGCTTCCGCCTCGTGCACGGCTACGGCCGGTGCCAGGCTCTCCTCTGCTTTCTGGAGCCCCACTGGTGCAGATGATAGGGTGAAAAATCGTGCAGTTCCCTTGTCCGGCCACGGGTGATTTGCGTGCTGTTGAACCGAAGTAGAGCATAGTCAGCACAGAGTACTTTTTCGTTGAAGGTGCCTAGGGTCCATAGGCAATCCTGCTTTCATACTTGAGGTGTTAGTTCCAAGGCCCCGCCAAACAACGAAATGTAATGAAGAGTCGATCATGGCCAACGCTTCTGAGCACCGATGTTCACCTGTTGCTGCCCGCCAGTATCTGCACCTGCCGTCACTCTGGACGGATGCTGTTGCCGCCTTGCAACAGGCCAAGTATTCTCAGCAGGCGTCTTGAGATAAGATGAGGTGCCTTGGAGCAGAGTTTGTCGCTTGTTTTGCGAGCCGCCCAGTCGGGCTCGAGTATGGGGACTGGGAGCTGGTTCTGTCCACATGCAAATTTTTCAACCTCCTGTTAATGAAATGGAAATGCCACAGTTGCCTGAAGTGAGCTTTCTGGAACCTGCGCCAAAACCTCTCCGAGCGGATGTCAAGCACAAGCGACAGAGAATTGCTGACGGGTGGCGCTTCCGCAGCGGGTGCCCATGAAGCGCGATGATGTTGACAGTGTAAGGTTCAGGGGTGTTGGTGACTGCTTGGAAGTCAATGCTGGTGGCGCAAGACTAGGCTTCCGGTTTTGTGCGCGTCAGTGGCCACCAAATCGCTTGTCCGTGTGTGTACGACTACGACATCGAAATCACCCAGTACTGGTACCTGTGTTCTGGCTAATGTTACATAATGTTAGTTTCGCTCCAAGCTCGTTTCAGGACCTGCTCGGCATCGCTCTTCGGATGGTGCTGCTTTCGCTTCGGTGGATGGTGCCGTAGTGAAGGAAGCTTCAGGGGTTTTGGTTTTTCTGTTTTAAGTTCACAGCCCGGATGGGAGAAGGATTTTGTGTTTTAGCTTATGTGGGGTACAGGAATTCAGGTCTTGAAGGTGAGCAACAGTTTCAAAGCCCCGAAATCCTACTGCCTGCTTTGTGCGACTGTCGAAACCTGAGTCAGCTACGTTCACCATGTCCACATGCTGCATTCGAACTGTTACCTCGCCCAGCACCAAGTCCCAGGGCTTGGGAAGCCCTTGAGCCCCCCGGACGCCTTCAACTCAAAATCCCCTATAGAACCAGAGCCCTCAAGCCTGAGCCTTCACGTCCCTGAAGGTCCCAACCCCATTTTCACAGTCAGGTGTCCTTATCGGCTCCTACGGCAGGGGCATGATCGAAATGGAGGAACGGGCGTTCCTGATAAGGTCCTAAGGTCCTAAGGTCCCAGCATTAAGCATTTCAGGTTTCCGGTGACGAGTTTGGCTTGGCGGGCTTGTACAGGTATTTGCAAAAAAGGGTGGGGCTTGGTGCATTGCAGTTTCCTGCACAAAACGCTCTGAGAATTTAGGGTGTAGCGCTTGGAGGTTTGGGTTTGTTTGGGCAGCTCTGGCAACCGAGCTCCTTCCCAAAGTCTCTCGCTTGCAGTATCGGTGTGACATGTGAGAGTATGCAACGCCCGTCTAGAAGCTCTTGCAAGCATTTAAACCTGATGCCGCCCCAAAGCCCCACAAAACCCTCAAACTGGCAGCCCTAAGCTCCTACTCAGGAGCTACGCGCTGTGGAGTGCCACTCTCTTCGGAGCCAAGCCCTCAGGGACTCCGAAGTTCAGGCAAGAACGGTGGTCGATAATGTGTCCCTGCTTCATTGTTGCCGAACCTGCCCTGCAGGCACCTGTGCGGCATGTTTGTTTGCACGGCCTTGCTCAAGAGCAAGACCCGGAGTTGTAAGTTGCTAGCATAACGGCCTTGTGCGAAACAATGCCGAACTTTGGTCGTCGCCGCGCAGATTACAGCTGTGGACGGTGGGATCGCGGTGGCTATTGGCCGTGGACGCCAGGTACTGGCAGGCCTTTGCGAAGCTCACTACAAAGCACTCGTTGTTAGTGTCCTCTTTGATCATGCTAACCTCCTCCTCTTACGCTTGAACTGCCTAAGATGTCTTAGGATGCTTCATGCTTTTGAGCGGTCTGCTTGTTTTCGATTCCGTAGTGCCGGGCGAGAACGGCGGGCAAGTTCTTGGGCAACGGGAAGTCTCAACTTGAACCGCGCCCGGCAGCTCCTTGGCCAGTACCGTTTCGCAGGCGAGGAGCTCTACAATCAGGCATTCCGTGGCAAGATGCCTGAGGAGTCCTTCCCAGCCAAGGAAGAGTATGTCCAGGAAATGCCATGCGTGACATGGAACATGATGGACACGACGATGCGGAGCGCAGACCCTGCAATGCCAATATACGATGCTTTCGGGTACGGAGTAATGCCCTACTTCACCAACGTTCCAGAGGCAGCTCCTCCTTCGCCCTCCGCGACAAGTCTCGATGTTGACATGATCATGAACAGTATGCGCCTCCTGCAGGCCATGGCGCCTGAGCAGGCGGCAAAGATTCTACAAGATACGGCTGCCCTGCAGGGGCCTTATGAAGACTGAAGATTTGAAGGGCAGTGAGCTCTTTGTACATGCAACTTTGTACATTTGTGGTAACCGGTAACCATTAGAGGTGCCATTACTCTGTGCAGTAATTCAGCGAAGCGACGTAGCACTGGATCAACCATTGGCCCGACCGGGCTCTGCACGCTGTCGAAAGGAGCTGACTGCAAGTCTGCACTGCAGGTGAACCCTCACATGCGTAGTTACCACGTATAGCTGTCTTTTCGAAACAAGTGACGTAGTCAGGAAGTCAAGCAGTTTTATCTCATTAACTGGTGCATCAACGATCTACTCAAAAGCTACTTGTTCGAACGAATTGGGCTAGAAAGCATAGTGCAAGCTGATCGCCGTGACAGTAATGGGCGTGCAATGGTGTCGTAGTCTCACAGCGTAACCTTTCGTACCTGTCGGGACAAGCCACTTGTTCAACGCACAGGTCAGGTGGCACTTGTGCTGCCAGTGCTTGCACGAATGCCAGGACCTGAGAAGACGCTGTCGACGGTTTGGGCCCAGGGTTCAGTTTTCAGGACTTGCATCTCGGGGTTACGTTTGCGGAGGTTCGGGCGGGACGAGACCCCTCTCATCTCCAACCGACTGCGCACCAAGACCCTCGCCTGGCCTGTCAAGGGGTGAGCCTGGAAACGATATACCAGGCATCAGACGCCAGTTTGAGAGGGTCCCAAGTGCTGAGAGGCCTTATTTGAGTTTGTCTGGTGACTTGGTTTTTGGAAGGATAGCAAGTGAGTTGATGAGATGGATCGGCGAACTTCGGCGTTGAGTCATTTTTGAGTGAAAACGACAAAAGCGCTTGGCACGTGTTGTCCAGTGCTGGACTGTCATTTCATGGGAGGCAGGGCCCCCAGGCCCCTTTTACCCCCTGCGCCTTCCAACTCAAAATCCAAGAAAAATATGAGCCCTCAAGCCTGAGCCTTCACGTCCCTGAAGGTCTCAACCCCATTTTCACAGTCAGGTGTCTTTATCGGCTCCTACGGCAGGGGCATGATCGAAATGGAGGAACGGGCTCACGTCGTCCTAATGTCCTAGGATTTGGACTTTCGGCTTTACGTTGAAGGGCTTGGGTTTCGGGGTTTGGGATTGTCGGTTTGGCTTTGAGAATGGTAGGGTGTGGCGCTTGGATGGGATTTTTGGAGCTCCTTCACAAAGTCGTTCTCGGTTGCTCGGCGAGAGAAGGCCCTCCCTCTACAAGCTTTCGATCGCGATGCGCCACCCCAAAGCCAAACGCCGCGAAGCCTTAAAACTTCAGCCCTGAGAGCACAGCCGAGGAGCTACACACTGTGGAGTGCCATTGTCTGCCAGGCAGCCAAGCCCTCGGGGAAAATGCAGGCAAGAACAACGTCGCTTTGGGGCAGGTTCATTGTTGCCGCACATGCCCCACAAGCACCTGTGCGGCATGCTTGTCTGCAGAGTGTTGCTCGAGTTGCAAGTTGTTGGCATAGCTCGAAACGATGCCGAGCGGTGGTCGCCGCCGTTTCGACTACAGCTATGGACGGTGGGATGGCGGTGGCTATTGGCAGTGGACGCCAGGTACTCGCAGGCCTTGGCGAAGCTCGCTGAAAAGCGCTCGTTGTTAGTGGCTTCTTTGATCACGCTAATCTCCTCTCTCGTACGTTTGAACGGCCTAGGATATCTTAGGATGCTTCATGCCTTTGATTGTCCTGCTTGTTTTCGATTCCGTAGTGCCAGGCGAGAACGGCGAGCAAGTTCTTCGGCAACTGGAAGTTTCAACATGAACCGTGCCCAGCAGCTCCTAGGCCAGTACCGTTTCGCAGGCGAGGAGCTCTACAATCAGGCATTCCGTGGCAAGATGCCGGAGGAGCCCTTCGCAGGCATGGAAGAGTATGTCCAGGAAATGCCATGCGTGACATGGAACATGATGGACACGACGATGCGGAGCGCAGACAATGCAATGCCAATATATGATGCTTTAGGGTACGGAGAAAGGCCCTACTTCACCAACGTTCCAGAGGCAGCTCCTCCATCACCCGCGACAGCCAGTATCATGGACACCATGCGGCTCCTGCAGGCCATGGCGCCGGAAAAGGCCGCGAAGATTCTGAAAGATACGGCTGCCCAGCAGGGGCCTTATGAAGACTGAAAATGTGAAGAGCTCTTTGTACATGCGACTTTGTACATTTGTGGTAACCCTTAGAGGTGCCATTGCTCTGTGCAGTAATTCAGTGAAGCGACGTAGCACTGGATGGATTCGATCAACCATTGGCCCGACCGGGCTCTGCACGCTGTCGAAAGGAGCTGACTGCAAGTCTGCACTGCAGGTGAACCCTCACATGCGTAGTTACCACGTATAGCTGTCTTTTCGAAACAAGTGACGTAGTCAGGAAGTCAAGCAGTTTTATCTCATTAACTGGTGCATCAACGATCTACTCAAAAGCTACTTGTTCGAACGAATTGGGCTAGAAAGCATAGTGCAAGCTGATCGCCGTGACAGTATTGGGCGTGCAATGGTGTCGTAGTCTCACAGCGTAACCTTTCGTACCTGTCGGGACAAGCCACTTGTTCAACGCACAGGTCAGGTGGCACTTGTGCTGCCATGCTAAGTGCTTGCACGAATGCCAGGACCTGAGAAGACGCTGTCGACGCTTTGGGCCCAGGGTTCAGTTTTCAGGATTTGCATCTCGGGGTTACGTTTGCGGAGGTTCGGGTGGGACGAGACCCCTCTCACCGCCAACCGACTACGCACCAAGAACCGTGGAAACGATATACCAGGTATCAGACGCCAGTTTGAGAGGGTCCCAAGTGCTGAGAGGCCTTATTTGAGTTTGTCTGGTGACTTGGTTTTTGGAAGGATAGCAAGTGAGTTGATGAGATGGATCGGCGAACTTCGGCGTTGAGCCATTTTTGAGTGAAAACGACAGAAGCGCTTGGCACGTGTTGTCCAGTGCTGGACTGTCATTTCATGGGAGGCAGGGCCCCCAGGCCCCTTTTAACCCTTGCGCCTTCCAACTCAAAATCCAAGAAAAATATGAGCCCTCAAGCCTGAGCCTTCACGTCCCTGAAGGTCTCAACCCCATTTTCACAGTCAGGTGTCTTTATCGGCTCCTACGGCAGGGGCATGATCGAAATGGAGGAACGGGCTCACGTCGTCCTAATGTCCTAGGATTTAGACTTTCGGCTTTACGTTGAAGGGCTTGGGTTTCGGGGTTTGGGATTGTCGGTTTGGCTTTGAGAATGGTAGGGTGTGGCGCTTGGATGGGATTTTTGGAGCTCCTTCACAAAGTCGTTCTCGGTTGCTCGGCGAGAGAAGGCCCTCCCTCTACAAGCTTTCGATCGCGATGCGCCACCCCAAAGCCAAACGCCGCGAAGCCTTAAAACTTCAGCCCTGAGAGCACAGCCGAGGAGCTACTCACTGTGGAGTGCCATTCTCTGCCAGGCAGCCAAGCCCTCGGGGAAAATGCAGGCAAGAACAACGTCGCTTTGGGGCAGGTTCATTGTTGCCGCACATGCCCCACAAGCACCTGTGCGGCATGCTTGTCTGCAGAGTGTTGCTCGAGTTGCAAGTTGTTGGCATAGCTCGAAACGATGCCGAGCGGTGGTCGCCGCCGTTTAGACTACAGCTATGGACGGTGGGATGGCGGTGGCTATTGGCAGTGGACGCCAGGTACTCGCAGGCCTTGGCGAAGCTCGCTGAAAAGCGCTCGTTGTTGGTGGCTTCTTTGATCACGCTAATGTCTCTCGTACGTTTGAACGGCCTAGGATATCTTAGGATGCTTCATGCTTTTGAGCGTCCTGCTTGTTTTCGATTCCGTAGTGCCAGGCGAGAACGGCGAGCAAGTTCTTCGGCAATGGGAAGTTTCAACGTGAACCGTGCCCAGCAGCTCCTAGGCCAGTACCGTTTCGCAGGCGAGGAGCTCTACAATCAGGCATTCCGTGGCAAGATGCCTGAGGAGTCCTTCCCAGCCAAGGAAGAGTATGTCCAGGAAATGCCATGCGTGACATGGAACATGATGGACACGACGATGCGGAGCGCAGACCCTGCAATGCCAATATACGATGCTTTCGGGTACGGAGTAATGCCCTACTTCACCAACGTTCCAGAGGCAGCTCCTCCTTCGCCCTCCGCGACAAGTCTCGATGTTGACATGATCATGAACAGTATGCGCCTCCTGCAGGCCATGGCGCCTGAGCAGGCCGCAAAGATTCTGAAAGATTCGGCTGCTCAGCAGGGGCCTTATGAAGACTGAAGATGTGAAGAGCAGTGAGCTCTTTGTACATGCGACTTTGTACATTCGTGGTAACCCTTAGTGGTACCGTTGCTCTGTGCAGTAATTCAGCGAAGCGACGTAGCTTTGGATGGATTCGATCAACCATTGGCCCGACCCGGCTCTGCACGCTGTCGAAAGGAGCCGCTTGCAAGCCTGCTGGAACGTCTGGTGGCCTGCTGTCTGCACTGCATGTACAGCCATCAGCCATGTACAGCCTCAAAGGCGTAGTTTGCACATATAGCTGTATTGTCTATACAAGTGATGTAGTCGGGAAATCAAGCAGTTTTATTCACTAACTGGTGAATCAACGATCTACTCAAAAGCTACTCGTTTGAGCGAACTGGGTTACTTTGCGTAGTGCAAGCTGAGTGACGGTGATGGTCGTGGACTGGTTTCGTCTCACAGCGTAATCTTCTGTGTCTGGTAATCTTCTGTATCTGTCGGGACAATGTACTTGTTGAATCTGCTGGTCAGGTGGCACTTGTGCTGCCATGCTATGTGCTTGTACGAATGCCAGCACCGCAGAAGACGCTGTCGACATTTTGGGCCCAGGGTTCAGTGTTTAAGCCCACTTGCGCGAACAAAGGCCTTACATCTCGGATTACAGTTTCGGAGGTTGGGACGAGACCCCACTCACCTCCAATCGACGAACCTCGCCTGGCATGTCAGAGAGCGAGCGTGGAAACGAAAGGCAGCAGACGCCAGTTTGAGAGGGTCCCAGGTGCTTAGCGGTGCTAGACGGTCGACGGGAGGCAGGGCCCGCAGGCCCCTTTTACCCCTTGCGCCCTCCAACTCAAAATCCAAGAAAAATATGAGCCCTCAAGCCTGAGCCTTCACGTCCCTGAAGGTCTCAACCCCATTGTCACAGTCAGGTGTCTTTATCGGCTCCTACGGCAGGGGCATGATCGAAATGGAGGAATGGGCTCACTTCCACCTGATATCAAGGTCCTAGGATATGGAGTTTCGGGTTTACGAATGTTTACGATGAAGGGTCTGGGTTTTAGGGTTTGGGATTGTCGGTTTGGCTTTGGGACTGGTTGGGTGTGGCGCTTGGAGGTTGCCTGTCTCGGTTGCTCGGCGCGAGAAGACCGCCCCTCTATAAGATTTCGATCGCGATGCACCACCCCAAAGCCAAACGCCGCGAAGCCTTAAAACTTCAGCCCTGAGAGCCGAGGAGCTACACACTGTGGAGTGCCATATTCTCTTCCAGGATGCCAAGCCCTCGGGGATTCTGAAAAAAGCAGGCAAGGACAGTCGGCCTTGGGTCCCCATTGTTGCAGATTCCATGTTGGCTTTAGGGCACGAGAGCCTTAAGCCCCAAATGACGGATGACACGTTCTGCTCCGCCAATCTGCCTTCGTCTAGCCAGCAACCTCTTGTCCCGGTTGTACCGACTACGCGCCAAGAAGCTCGCCTAGCATGTCCGAGAGTGAATCAATCTCGCAGCACACCCTCAACCCTCAAACCCGGAAGCCCGAAACCCTCGTCTTAAACTCACTCCTGCAGAGTCCCGTACCTAAATCGTACTAAGGATTCGGATTCCCGGTTTGGGGCAGAGCCTGGCCTCACTCGCTGAGCAGGGAGCGGAATCATTTCGAGCACTTAGGAAAGGCTTCCGAAAGCGAAATGCCGAGAAGTGACGCCAGCTATGTGAAGTACCGCAGTGCTGAGCTCCAGGTTTCGGCACCTTCCCGAGTCGAACTGTTGCAATGCATGCAAGAAGCGCGAAGGTGTGATGCACAAGCAGGGTGAGGATTCGTGGCGCATGATGATGAAGTGCCAGAAGTGCAGACGGCAGAGGGAGTTTTGTTTTGTCAGACGAGCCTGTGGCTTGAGCGACTGCCCAGTGACAATCATGAGTCCTGTCTGGAGGGGCTTGTATTCCAAGTTCCACCGATAGAAACGGTCAGAAGCTCAAGCTCAGTAATTTTCATTCGACTCCGGTATGTATATCATCACGATCGGTGCTTTTGTTTACGCTAAAGCAGAGCAAGGTGTACACGTGCCTGCTTGAGGCCTTTGCTTCAAGGGCCCCTCAAACGAAGAACCGCAGCAACGGTCAGGGCCAATGGTAGTGAGCATACACGTTTAGTTGTTGCTCCCCTCCAGTATCTGCAGCTGCTTCCGCTCTGCATACTGTAGTTGCCGTGCAGAATTGGTAAATATCTCGAGCAAATCTTCAGATGCGATAAATTCACCTACATACTTCTCTGTTAGTGGTGCCAATCGGGCTTGAGATCTGAGGCAGATAGCTGGTTCCGTCCATTTACAGATTTTTTCACGAAGCTCTAACTTTCCCGCCTGAAGTGAGTTCTCCAGCTAGAACCTGCAGCCAAACCATTTCAAAGCCATTCGAGCACATGGCAATCGAAAGCAGCAGAGAACCGCTGACCGGCAACGCCTCCGCCGCCGCAGGTGCCCATGAGGCGCAATGATGTGTAAGGCTAAGGGGTGTTCGTGACTGCGGCCTTGGAGGATGCGAAGTTCGACAGATCGATTTTCGAAGCACCAACCCCAAGAAACCAAAGTCGGAGCTCCCCCGCGTCTATCCCGATGTCTCTTGAAGCGACATGCGCTGCATGATTGGACAAGGCCGCCAAGCCCTGGTTCTGCTTTTTTCTTGGAAGTTGCACATGCAACGTGTGCCTGTGGCGCAAGACTAGGCTTCCGGATTTTTGCATGCAGTTCCCGGTATATCGGTTGTTTGTGTGTCGGATGTGGAAATGCCAATTGGAAGACTTGGTGTTCCCTCCTAGCCATGAAGAATATACGTCAGATTCCGAGAGAAGCAGGTCCGTACTTAGGTCACTGCAGGCAGAGCAGGAACTTGCGGTGATCAGACATACACCCAGAGCCTCTTCTCGGCGCCGAATTCAGGTTACTCTTGATGGCGGTCGGCTACCTCTTGTGGTACGCTATGTTCAGACCGCCGAGCACCAGCGTCTGCTTGCAGGACGGCGAGCTATCCGGTGGTTTGCGTTACGCCCGACGTTGGGGTTGCTACTGGGTCAGAAGTCTTTGAAGAATCCCTCCATGCTCTCCTCGCGTCCGCTGTCCTTGAAGCGTCGGGGATTCTTACACCCGGTCGGCCAAGTGGCCGGTAGAGCAGCCGGGTTCGGGTTTCGAAATATTGGACCAAGGGTGGAGGTGCCGGGCTGGTGGGTCTTCAGGTCTTGCCTTGGCTCTGGGCCACAGAGTCCTGCTCCATGTAGGATTACCACGCGAATCTCGAGAGTGTCCGGGCAAACGTCTCGGCCGTCGTCGCAGAGAAGTCCTTGGCGAATGCATCCCAGGCTTTTCGGGGCCTGCCGGGCTCATGGGGTTTGCTACGGCTGTAAGGGCTCACCTCTCTGTGGCACTTTGCTGCATGTTGGCCAAAGCGTGCACGGCTACCTAAGGTCATTAAGAGCTGTTGGAAGGGCGCTACGATGTCGGGGGCTTGGGCCTGTTCAGGCGAAGATTGACTGCTTCTTGGCGAAGTACAAGGCCATCACTTTCGACCTTGCGACACTGTGAAGAATTAAGTAGTTGCTTGATGCTGTCAGGTTGCGGGGTTCAAAGGTGAAGCTAGGAGCCAGGACTTTGCCTTCAGTTCAAGGATCCTCCGCCTGCAAGCTGCCTTCCTGCCCCTGAGGAACTATTCTGACGATCCCGTCGCCTACCAGTGGAAGATGCAGATTGGGAGCAAGGTGACCTGCCACGCGTTCTGGGAATAGATGCTCTTTAGCAGGGCAATCTGGCGTTTTCGGGTTGGTACACACCGATGGTGGCACAAAGGATGTGGTGTTGTGCTTTCAATCGAAGTGTGGTGGCACAGGGGCAGATGTCGGAAGTCTTCGCCGAGCGCCGGCAGATGATGCACTTTGGCACGAGTCATCGGCTTTAAACAGTGGTGGGACCTTGAAGCCCGCACATCGAAGTCTGAAACCTAGAACCTGAAAGTCAGCTGCAGACATAAAAGAACCAATCCCAAGCCCCATACAGTAAACACTGCAAGCCCAATCTCGACAAATCCGGATGGTGCTTCACAATGCAAGTGGTAAGTGCTTCTTTCAGACGTCCTTCCCTAATCCTTAAGCCCCAAATCCAACATCCGAAAAGTTACAGACCTATTCCAAAAGATCCAACAAACAACTTTTGTGCCAAACGGGCAGTATTTACTCGACCAACCTCACGCTGGTTTCAGTTGTGGGCTGTAGCGGGGAGAGCGGCGAGGGACTTGAGGGCGTTCAGGGGTCGAGGCCGCGCCGCAAAAGACCCGGTCAAAAACAAAATCCTGTAGCCCTGAAGCCTGAATCCGAATCTCCAAAAGCCAAAGTGAGGTCTGCAGACAACTACCGGCAGCTCTACGACTTGCTGAATGCTGATGGGGTGTGGGCTTTCTTGCGCCCCTGATGACACTGTTTTTTTTCAATGTGCGGTTTAGCACGTGCTCATGTAGAAAATTGGCTTGGGGCCCGGGAATGTTTTGGCTGTAGGATGTCGGCGAAGTCTACGTTCATGTCGTGGCTTTGTGGCTCGCATTCTGCAGCGCCATGTCGTGCGCTTTCAGGGTATCAAGGCTCAGGATGGGTGCACGCATTGAGGTTCCATGTATTGAAAGGGGTCACAGCACATTCTTCTTGTTCGGCGAATCCTCCTTTCTGGTTGGTGGGTCCATGACGTGCATGTGCAATCCAGAATCATGTCTTCCAGGGCAGGAGTTCTTTACTGTGATGCCTGTGCCCCGACTGGCAATTAGCACGATGGCTCCGGCCGAGGAGCACACTGCACAATTCCAATCTCGGCCCAAGAAGCAATAGCTAAGGTACTCCCGTTACTATCCCGATGAAGTTCAGGAGGAGCTGATGCAGGCAGTGTGTTGTGAATCAAGTTCCACACCCAGACGGCAAAAGCCCAGATCCAACCCCAACATAACTACGGCCACAAGGCTTGTTCCGGATGTGTCGTGCATGTTCAAGCTTTCGTGGTTTATGGACTTGCTTGATCGTCGAGCGTCAAGTAGGCACCAGACTCTCTAGGGTTTGAAGTGCAGTGGAAGCGGTCAAAGTTTGGGTCGGGGAGGTTTGCCGGCAGAGATGTCCCCCAGGGCCTCGGTCCTGTGATTGCAAACCATGCCTGGTTCGAGGTCGATCTTCGAGAGACGTCCATGATGGTCACGATGGTGAAAATGCCAGAGTGCATCGATGAGATGGTCGACACGTGCCTTGAGTTGCAGGAGGGCAGTGGTACTTGGTTTGCTCATGTTTGCACAAGGTCCACCTGCCTTTGCAGAAGAGCAGTGACGTGCGGCTTTTACGATATTTGCTTTCTTGTGGCAAGAAAACTTGAATCGGGACGAGGTACCGTTTCGAGAACTACGAGAAGTATTACTACTATGCGAGCAATGTGAAAGACACCGCTCGAATGCACAAGGCCTCCGAAGAGGAGTGCGAGACGCCACCAGCCTAAGACCATGACAGAACAAGGTCAAGGGGATCACCGGACATCGGGAAATAGAACGTCTTCATCAACGACTTGACGGACGATACCTACAGATGCTTTCGCATACTAGTTTCGACAACTCTCCTCGTCCTACGCCACGCTTATAGGGAGACAGAATATGTTTTTCGGGTTATATGGGGAGACGGGATATATTATTCTACGGGTTGGAATCTATGCATATGAAATATCCCAATATAGATTAGAAAAAGTATATATTATACTCGACTCTTGTTTACAACTTCCCGTCGAATTAGAAACATACAGATATTATTCGATGATTCAATAGAAAATTCTTATTAGATTTTACTATCTCTGATATGTCGTTCTCATAGACAAACGACATTTCGAGCTATATTTTGAATAGATACTTACTCATTTTAACTTAATCAACACATAGGGGCATATTTCGCAAAAGCTCTTTTTACATATGTCTTATCGAATTGACTTTCGAGCGTGTATTTGGATGAGAATTCGAACGAAATATGATCTGGGAACTTAAAGGGAGATCTGAACAATTTTTATGGAATTCTAGAAGTCTAGAGTCAGAAAATCTTGAGACCATTTCTCTAATACAACGGTGTCGTGTTGGTTGCGTCCGTGATTCTGCGCGCACCCCTGCCCCCTGTAACTTGGCCCTTTTCTGCGTTTCTTGTGAAAGCCTCTTGTATGGTTATCTCGTGTGATTAAGGGTCCTGGAAATTTCAGTATCGTGAGCGCTACTCCCGGGTACTAAAATCTTGGTAGCTTTAGGAAATCTCGCGGTATTAAAATCTTCCAGATTTGGGTAGCTTTAGGATGATGACATTCTCGCGGTAATGAAATTCTACAGGTTCTTGGCGGAGGCTCCAGGATTGTGCTTGCTGAGCTAACCGAAGTATCAGTCGCATGGGTTCGCGTCCGGTTTGTATTTGGGTTCTTTTTTGGGTTTGTATCCGGGAGTCCGGGCTCGTGTTTGGTTCGCGACCGGGGGTTCGTGTCCGTTTCGTGTCTCGTGTCTGGTTCATGTCTGGTTAGTGTCTGGGTTCGTGTCTGGTTCGTGTCCGGTTCGTGTCCGGGTTCGTGTCTGGTTCATGTGGGGTTAGTGTCTGGGTTCGTGTCCGGTGCGTTTCGTGTCCGGGTTCGCGTTGGGTTCACGTCCGGGTTCGTATCTGGTTCGTGTCCGGTTCGTGTCGTATCTAGATTCGTATCTGGTTCGTAGCTGATTCGTGGGCGGTTCGTATTTGATTCGGTCTGGATTCATATTTAGATTCGTTTTACGAAACTTATTATAAAGATATTTGTAGTTCTATTGAAATAATAATGAATTCCGCATATCATAAATTCGTAATAATTCTCGGATATCTCTTTTAAATATAGATTTTGGATTATTTATACTTGAATTTTTCATTTAAGAATATGGTATGAATTAAAATAGATAATTCATTATATAGATATATATTTCTTTGAAATATCGAGGATATATCGTATGAATATATATAATTGATATATATAGAAAATAAGAATCATTGATATTTTCGATATTTCGGATTGAGGCAAACAAGAAAAATAGAATAAAATGATATGAGGCGGATTTTTTGATTTAATATTTCGATCTAGGATACGATATATAAAATGAATTAAAAATATCGCGTCGATCTTAATATTCTATAACAATTTCTATAGAAAAAAATAATATAAAAATTTTCCGAATTTTGCGAATACGATAAATCCGGCAATAAATTGAATGATTCTATTCATTCGGATCATTTCGATAGATATCCAGCATCGTATATATATCTTCTTCAGAGATGATATATCAATATTTGACATAGAGAATAGATTCTGAGAGGTGCGACGATGTTTCGCTTCCGAAAGATTCCGATCTTATTATATCTGTGATATATCGTCTGATCTGCTCCATAAGAGAATACCATACGACGATATAGATAGATTCAAATGCTGGATATTATTTAAGAATTATTTAAAAATAGAGAATATCAATTAATAAATGAGATATCTATTTAGAATAAATTCTTTCTTGATTTTTCTTATTCCTATTATAAGAGGTTAGATAGGTAGAACAATTGCTGGCAAGATTAAATAGGATTAGTATTTGGGAATTACCATTAGATAATATCTCTGGACGATTTATCCTGAATCTTCTGATTGAAATTGTCGTTATATCAATTTTTAGAAGATAGATCGTAGATTTATATGAAAATATGACCGAGATCCGGAATTTCTCGGCGAATGATTAAATCTTTCATGATATGTCCTAGATCTATATAAAAGATTTTTCTTAGATTTTATCTTATTTGAGATTGATCTTATAGGATTTTTAGACGATCTTCTTCTTCTGATATCATATATCGTTATCGTCGTGGGGTGCCCGAGGCGCGGTTGATATATATATATAGCTTTCTGAAATAAGAATTCTGATATGGACGATAGTTTTTATTTTAGATCTTAGATTTAATTTCAATATTTCGATTCATAACCATCTGCTATCGAAATTTTTTATTGATCCAAGATTAGATCTATATGAATCGTAATTATATCATTCGCAGAATATCAATATTTTGAATATTTGCTCTTGAAATAAGGGGACGATATATCTTATAAATATATGAATAATGAATATATCCTATTATAGATCATTATGAAAGATCAGAATATTATGGCCTTTCTTTTATATCGTTGCTTTTTTCAGCTATTATCAGGCTCGATAAGATATAATAATATATTCTTGAAGATAATAATAGAGAATATGACGATAACGACAGATCAATTCCGCATATCCAAATAAATATAATATATACGGTTTTTATTATATTAGCGATTACTACAATAGCAGCAGCAGTAGCAATACTAATACCAATATCTTCATCAAAATCATGCTTTCTCGATCCGCCTAACTACTATCTCCCTAGAGAAGAAGAAAATACGAGAAGAGAAGAAAGACAAAATATAAGAGAACAGAAAATAAAAAGAAAAATTAAAAAAAATTAGCAAGAATAATTATTTTATAAATATATCTTCGCACCTGACGATCCAAATTCGTCCTTCTTCCGAAGAAAATTAAGAAACCGAGATTTCCTAAAATATAGATATAATATTTCTATCGAATTTCCATTCAAAAAATAAATTTAAACGAAATAATTTCGATTAAAAAAATTATTATTTCGAAAATATTTAATCTCGAAACCCAAGATATTGAAAAATATTCTTACGATTTCATTATAATTGAAAATCTATAATATAAATACGATCGTATTCATAATAAATCTCTATATAATATAAATATATATATATTTATATATATTGTAAGAGATTTTTTTTAATAATTTGAATTAAATTTATTTCGTATGATAGGAATTTCAAGATCGCAAGCACGTCTCTAACTAATATAATAAATCTATTTTAATCGAATAGAAACCTTCGAAATTTCTACACAGAAAATCATCACCAAAATCGACATTTTTTTCCAAAATCATACGTATTTATGAAGATATATATATCGATATACTAATAAGCTACATTTATCAGCTCGCAAGATACGGATGAATCATCCAAGAATCTCGTGAAAATCCAATTCGACGTGCGCCGTTATCAATCTGAATAGACGCAAATAAACAAATAGAAAGAAATAAGAATTCACTAATATATACTAGAATCTTACTGTATCTTATTTATAACCAAAGATTAGAATAACAGAGACAAAATTATAATGAATTAATATCAGATACTGTTCCCAAAGTAAACAATATCGAGTTATATACAGCGAGAATTTTTTAAAAATATGCCAGAAGATACTGACTCCAAAAACTAAAATTGCCGAGTTGCATATGGTAAGGAGGGTAGAGTACGTAAGAACCGAGATACCGAAGCCTTTGGCTTCGACTCAAGGTACACGCTACGTCTAAACAAGAACGCGGCCAAGAACCTTAGCCTACCCTAACTACTCAGCCGGCAAAATCAAGGGTAATGGAAACTAAGAACCTTAGGGCAGGCTACTCTCGCCGGATGGGGTTCTTATACAGGGTTTTCACTGTATTATCAGTTCTCCAGAAAAGCAAGTATTTGATAACTAATAGCGAATCAAACATAATTTTACGAGGGTTGTAGTTGCAGAAGTGCCGACTTTCATATTCTGTAAGACTGGCCAGGAAGAGACGGTTTCGGATGCGATACTTTTTCCTTGTGATGGAGCATGCAAGAATTACCCTATCATTGCCAAAGCATCTAGTGCAGGCAAAAGAGATTACCAAGCCTTCGAAGGGCCCTTTGGCCTCTCAGCGTTAGGGACTTCGTTGTCCTACGATCCTCTTTCTTCAAGGGGCTAAACCGTTTCCAGCAGCACCAGCAGGACCCCAGCTCTTGAAAGAAATCCCCTCTGCGGCCCTGCCTGCCGAGCAGAGCACCTGCTTTCCGTTACAGCAGCAAGTCGTAAGCCCTACAGACGATGTGGCCAGTTGCTCCCATCAAACTTATGGTCACAGTGTCCAAGAAGACCAGATTAGATTCAAGCTCGCTCTGATTAGATGCAGGGCCAAAGAGCCTTCCAATCGAAGCCCAGGGAATCGAGCAGTAAGAAAGTGAGACGAAACTACGCCGGGCTCTCTCCGAGAGCAATGGAGTGCACGATGATAGCTTGGGAATTGGGGCTGGGGTCTGGGGTCAAGAACAAAGCCACTGAACTTCAATGTGGGACGACCCCGGTTCTGCATGATGGAACCGGTTCTCCGGGTGCGATCAGCACTGGTTGTTTCCGTAAAGTACTTCCCAAAGACCATGCTAGGAGGTTTTGAGCTCCACTGCCGCACCAAGCAGATGACCCTGACCTGCACATCTAAATACCTCAGCATACCGTCGAAGTCTGAGGCTTGGTTCCTTGCCATGGGCTTCACGAGCCTTCGGAGATACCCGGGGGGAGACCCAGCCGAGCACCCACCGCTTGTTGGCTACCCGGGCCGGGCCAAGGGGCGGCGACAATCATCTATTCTGAGCCTGACTTCTACTGCTGTTCACATTGTCAGGAGTGCTGCGACGACGACTTCACAGTAAGTAGTGCACAGGTCTTGTCCCAAGTACTAGTCGTCAGTCATGTCTTTGTGCGAAATGATTAGATGCCGCTGAACCGATTCTTTCGGTGGTCTACAAGAGCCCTGTGTAACGTCCACAGCCAAGTGCCTTGGCCTACATAGTCGGATGCTTGAGTCGGCTTACAGCTGGACAGGGCTCCTGCAAGAGACGCGCTCCGCAGCTTCCATGCAACCTTCACATGACCTTGTAAGACCCGAACTCAATGATCTCAATGGCCTTGAAGCCCCGATTCGCTATCTCTAGCTCTGTGCTGCTTGTGCAGCTGCCATGATCCACTGGTCCATTCAGATGCCTACTTGACAACTCCGATATCTCGATGGGGACTTCCTCTACCAAGAGCAGTGGCATGAAGACGGGATTACGACACTCAAGCTGGACGAACCTCCGATGGGTATAGAGAGCCTATCATTCTGACCATGGCTCGGGATAGTGTGGATACAGAGATGTCGAAGCAGTTGCTCATATCCCTGGCACTTGTTGAGGCGACCTTCCAGCCCAGACGTGAAGCTACTAGTAGCTCAAGAGGTTGATGGGACATGTTCTGCGGAGCTAGCCTGCATATAGGTACTGACAAACCTCTGGCAGGCAAGGTTTACCGAGGAGACTTGGCGAGATCTGCGTATGTAAGCAAATCAGACCATGCCTGCCAGCTCAAGCAGTGCTTGATTCCGGCAGTAGGAATCCTACTTGAAAAATCTGGGCAAGCTGTGCGTGGACCGGCCAGCCCGCACCTACACGCTGAACTCCGGTCTGTTGGGGAAAAGAGCCATTTCCCTGGTAAGGCGCTTCCAAGCAAACTCTAAGCCGAAATAAACCTAAGCGTTGGACACGAGTCACAACTCCGGACCATAGCGCGGCTGTCCACTCGCAACTGCCACAGCAGGTGGATGATGACGACTCAAACCCATGTCCCAAACTTCAAGACCAACGGACTGGACATCAAAGGCGATAGAGTATGTCGCTAGTTCATTTAACACAGGAAGACCTGATCTGATGCACGATTGGTTGCCAACGTGTTCGGAAGGACACTTGCACAGTCTGCAGCTACGGTGCAAAGTTGTCATCATCCGGTGATCTCTAGCCGATCAGGAGGCAAAAAGACTCAGGAAATCCACGTCTAACGAGGTCGAAAACCTGGGAACACAGGCTTCAAGATCAGTTGACACCATGCTACTTTGATTTCATTTGCTGAAGCATGCCGAAGCCCTGCCCTGCACTGTCGGATTATGAACGCAGCGAACAAATTTCAAACTGTTTCAGTGATATCACCTCGCTGTTCCTTAGCCCCCGGCGGCATACTTCGGTCTCTCTCGCGCAGCGCTCGCTGGTCCACGGAGCGGCGGAGATTGACACGGCTTTGGGCAGCTTGGTTCGATCTCGTCACGATAACCTTTGGGCTGCTTAGGACGCTGGGGCCTTCGCCTGGAGGTAAGGGAGGGGCGTCTGCAGATGATGCAGACGATTAAGGACACAGGACAAGGGATTTCTTCTGTGAGAAAGCCTCTGCACCTATGTAAAAGTTCTTCTGTCTATCTATATATATATATATATGTATATACATATATATGTGTATATGTACGTTCTGCCTACTGAGACCCACATGTGTCCCCATAAACAGCTCCTCCCCAATTGCGGCGCCTGAGGCGGTGCAGCATCGGTGCGGCGAAAGCTCGGGTGGAGAACATGATCCTCTACCTGCCGGCAGTTGGAGCTACACCTTCAGTGCAGAACGCCATCATGGAGAGCGGCACAACACGCGTGAATGCCATACGTTTCTGGATTCCATGCAGTCCTAGGACTCTACGGAGCTTTTCGTCATTTTCTCGACAGAAAGCACCTGCGCCTACCGTCTCCATGGGAATGCCCACTGAACTTCACATGTGCCTCCACATCTTCCATCTGCATCGGCTCCGCCGACTGATGGCGCCCACTACGGCGTGTAGGCGGGGTTCCGCCGCACCTCGATGCAGCATCGAAGAATCTGAATGTTTTTCGTTGCGGATTATGGAGCTGCTTGAATTTGAGCATTCATCGGATCTGACTTGTTGCACCTGGAGGCATGTTTCGAGGGGCTGTAATTGTACCCCTGCATGCTCGGGTTGAGTTTCAGCCCATGGTAACGCTAAGGAGAAGCACATCACACAGCACACCGCTTGTCAGCTGGTGCAACACGCACATCGCGTCTTCAATTATCGGGGCACGTGCGGCCTGGATGCATCGCAAGGCTTAGGAATTGACATCTGAAATTCCAGCCGGCCCTTGGATCATTGTCGCCACTATGATTGTCACATGTATCCTCCCTTGTCCGCTCAGCATCATTTACGATCGTCGCTCGCTTCTTCCTCTTCATTTTCACCCTCATCGTTGTCATCATCGCCAGAATCATCATCATCATCATCGCGCTGTCATCATGGTCCTACTCTTCATGCCCCTCATAAGAACAATCTTGTGGCATGATGAAAGACTGTCCCCAAACCCTGAACCCTAAACTCCTCAATTACTGAACCATAAACCCCTAAACCCTAAACCGTGGCTCTGGCGACTGTGGGCTCGCGGGCCAGGCTGCCGCATCGCCCAGGCCGCAGCCACTGACCTCAGCGGAGCGCTTTCTTCGGGAGCTTGGAATACCTTCTGGGAGGGGGGGGCAGTTTGGGGCTTTTTGGCCAAGAGCTTGCGCCTTAGAGCTGCATCTTCCTGTAAGAGTCCAAGATAGTCCAAGAGTGCAGGCTGGGAACTCCCCGGCTGTGCTCCCAGCTGCTTTGTTGGAGGCACTTGGCGGGAGGTTTCAACGTTTGGAGGCGTGCCAGCTGCCTTCCCGCCCTGTATCACGGAGCTGTCACTAGCAGCGTCTCTAGGACTTGCATAGTCCTGCACTCTGAGGCCCGCGCACCAAGCGCTAACGGGTCGGCAAGGGCCTGGTACGAATCTGAACTGAGTTCTTCTGACAAAGCGTGCTGTGACGAAAAGACAGGTGCAGGGAACAACCACTTGTGGGAGACAAGCCCAGCATACCGACAACAGAACTCTGTGATAGGGATCGGAGGTACCGACATGGCCTCTGGGCGGCTTGCAGCGCGCGAGCTCGGGGTGGAGGCTCCGCGGAACCTGGCCGGAGCGGCCTTTTATCACGGGGCGGAATGCGGAAGTGGAAAGGTTGGGCATGGGTGCTCTTTGAAGCTTAGAATGGAGGCCGTAAGCTCGAGTGACTCGGAATTTTACTCATTGGTCAAGGCTGGGGAGCCTGTTTTCAGAGCTAGAGACCAGCACTTCCAAACCAAGCTGCCTCTATCTCAGTTGCATCTCGGAGTCAAGAGTGCAAGGCGGATCTTTCACTACCCCGCACTGAAGATTACCGACTGCGACCTGAAAACATCCAAGTAGAGCACCTAACTCTTCCATACTGAAGATCGAAACGCAAATGTATCCAAGGGGGAATCCTCTAAGCTGTCTGAGTCCCAGTTGCGGACATCAAGCATTTTCCGATAGGTGTGAAACTTCTTCATGATCCAAGAGCTATAGAAGGCATTAGCTGAGCGCGATGGCCACTCAAAGACTGTACTGCCGTCTCATTCCAGAAGAGACCCTGACATGTGTCTGCATCAGTGATGGGGCTTAACTGAAGAATCAAGGTTAGTAATAATAGGATCTCGATTCCGGGCTCTTTTTTTAATAGGGTTGCCTAGAATCTGAAACTCCCGAATCGCGCTCAGTGGCCGGTCCGTTCGGGGGTTCTGGCTTGAGCTCGACCCAAGCTCAGCTCTGCTTGACGGGCAAGTTCAGGCTTCAGGAAAGCTGGAGCCAGTCTGAGATAGTCTGAGTGTGCTTGCATTCAACCCTGTAAGGGGCCAGGAAATGTAGAATTCCACCCGATGTCCTCCTAAACAAAAGAGGATAGATGAGCAAGACTTCCATGGCCGGTCGAATCCACTCGGTCCTACATTTGCAGTTATGGAATCTGCACAGCCTGTCCGAGCCTGGACTTGCCTTCGAGTTCGTGAATCGAGCATTGCCGATCTAGAACAACCCATGACAGCTCTTGCCTCAATAAAAGCTGTAGATCACCTGGGATCCTGATGTCATGGGCGTTCATGGTTTGGGTGAAACTGGGGAAAAGCAGTCAGCTCTGGCGAAGAGCATTCCGAGGAGTCCAGGCAGGGCGTACTACGAGGCTTCGGGACATGCCGTGGATCCTCGGTTGCTCCGCACCAGGCCGCCTTAAAATTACACCATCACTCTCCTCACAGGCAGAACGTCCGCAGCGCTTCCCGGTCCACGGTGAGCTCTTCAAAGCCGGGCTGTTGGTCGAGCTGCTGCAAGCGCTCGAGGAGGGGGAGGTTCCTTGGAACGGCGGAATTGACATCCTTGCCTACCATGAAGATCCGAAGCAGTTTTCGAAGTGCTTCGAAGCACCGACAACCCCAGTCGAGGCATCCAGCTAGCTACCACGGAAGCATTCAAGACCCAAACACGATTCTAAAGACCGCAGAAAGCTTCAGGATGCCCTCATCCCCCAAGAGGTCCAGCAGCTCCACCTCAGAGCACTATTCTTACTGTGAGCGGAGGCAAATCATAGCCGTACCCATCTATCTAGCTACCCATCCATCCATCCATCCATCCACCTAACTGTCTGTTCATCATGCTCTTTGATTGATCTGTCTGCTCCATTGTTGCATTTCACCCTGACAATCCCTGACATACACATGTGCGCAAACATGCCTGTACGCTCGGGCGAGGGATGATGCCAGGAAACCCGGGCTCATCAACACTGCTTCAGGCGCCGAATCCGATTTCGGAACATCGACGCCGTCAAGTGTGCAACTACAAATCCCTGCAACTCCATCTGCGAACTCCACGAACGTCTTCTTTTTGTTTGGAGTCTTGGAGGTTTGTGGATAGGTGCAGTATCATGGGTGCTCACCAAGGATAGAGAAAGCACGACAGAATTCTAGTTCCTTACGAGTACCTGGTCCTATCGACTCGGTGTTGAGGTCATGGACACCGTGAGCCCGCTTTCGCACGCTTGCCTGGAGAAGCAGCTCGTCTGCCTCGACGGTGTCTCCCAAAGGCCGGCGATCCCGCAGGAAGTTCAGAGCAGTGTCTACCTCTTCGGGCAGAAGGTCCGTTTACACATCAACCCCCCTATGTACCCCGTGTTCGCGCCCGCTGCAGTTCCCGCCTTGTCCTCCCCGCCAAGGGATGAAGCGAGCCTGGAACTTATGCGCCCGTACTGCGCTTTCTGTAAGTCCTACGTGGTTGAAACGAGGATTTACTCTAGGATCAGGGTGCGCTCTAAGTCTACTCTCACTTAGCCTTCCATTTCCATCGTGGAAAGGGGTCTCGCTTGCGACCAAGCTGCGCCGCTCGGAGCTTGTGGGCCTCCTCGGTCGCTTGGACCTCTGGTAGTGGCACCAAGAGGGCCTCGGCCTCGGCAATCAGCTGACGCCACTCCGCAGTGCTTGCGAAGCCGTGCTCGCTGTGTGAAACGTTGTCGGCACTGTCTCCAGGCTCCTGGAAATCCTCCAAAAGATCGAGGTCACGCTCTCCAGAAGAATTGCTTTCGGCACCTACTTGGCCAGAGTCGCTCTCGAAGTCTGAAGCGTAGGAGCAGCCTTCTGTGTGGTTGGACGTCGCTCTGTGCGGCGCTGACACAGATGGACTCCTGGAGATACCAAAGTCGTCCTCCACAAGGCCTGGAAGGCCAGGGGTGCGTGCGCTTGCGCTGCCAACCTGCATGGAGCTTCCCGTGGCACTCAGCTCTTGGCTCTTTGCCCAGGGTGAACCCAAGTCGCTGTCCGATGGCGAAGCCGCATCAAGCTGGTCCACCGAGAAAGGCTCAGTGACGGCGCTCTGTACAGGGTGGTTGGGGCCGTGACTGGAAGTGGCGGCTTCTGGAGCGAAATGCAGCTGCCGAAGGACCGGAATCGCCCGCCGCGCAAGGCCGACTGCCGTGCCAGCAGCGGCCGCGGTGCCCGTGGAGGCGCGGGGTTCAGAGGTAGAAGTCCGTGGCTTCGCCCACTTCCGATCTCCCACAAGGCTGTCCAAACTTTGCAGGAAATCATGGAAAGGGTCTCGCAACAGATCAGACCGCAGGAGCTCCCTGTTTGACGGCCTGTTGTGAGGCTTTCGTGCCAGAAGGCCTTCCAGAGTCCCAGACAGAGGTGGGCTGTATCCACTAGGAGCCTGCACAGGCGGTGCATGCAGCACAGCGCTCACGACTGCTGCGTAGGAATCGCATCGCCCTGCAAAAGGGGGCTCCAGTGCCATCATCTCGAAGAGAACGCACCCAAGCGCCCACTGGTCCGTCTTGCTGTTGTAAGGCCGACCTTCTAACATCTCCGGGCTCATGAATGCAGGTGTACCTACAATGGACCGGCGCAGATCCTCGGTGTGCTCGACCTGTCCCGCAACTCCGAAGTCTGCCAGCATGACTCGTTTGCCGTTTTGGGCCAATAAAACGTTCTGTGGCTTCAAATCTCGGTGAAGAAACTTCCGAGAGTGCAGGTGTTGAAGACCCCAGGTGAGCTGCGCAAGCCAGGAGAGGATCAGCATCTCTGCGATGTGTGCACGGCCGAAGCCGTCTCTGCATCCGTTCAGCTCCCACTCCAGTCGAACCCTGAGGCATTCCTGCCGTAGATCCCGGTCACAGCGGCTCATGACCAGGCAGAGGATGTCTTCGGAAGGCAGAGAGGGTGTAGAGCGAACAAGGAAACTTTCGAGATATGGAACTATGCATGGATGCCGCATGGAAGAGAGGAGCCGCACTTCGCGCAGAGCGTTCTCTCTGTCCGTATCTGCGACCCATGGCAGCTGCTTCACTACTCGCAGTTGACCCTCCCGATCTTTGACCTCGTAAACCCGGCTGTTGCAGCCACCGCCTTGCCCCAGGACACGCATGACCGAGTAGCCATGCTCCTCCATGGCCCGGGCCCGCCCATGAGGCCTGGGTCAGACGGGCCGCTACCGCCCAAACCATCCCTCAGCCATCGTCTCAGCTGCGATCGGAAGTCAAGCTTCAACATCATGTCATCTTTACTTGTAGCAACATCGCTCTCTGCCAGCGACCTCAGAGTCCCTGAACCCCAGCTATCTCCTGACATGGCGGCAGCACTGTCCGGAGTCTAAGACCCCGCTGAGGCTCTTCGTCATGGGAGGCTGACCCCGGCCAAAGACGCCCAAGTCGGCAGCACCGGCCTTCCAGCCAAGCGAGATTGAGAGGAATCAAAGTACGACTGCCGACTGCCAACCACAGTTGGTGACGGCAGAGGCTGCCGAAGCTCCATTACGTGCAAGAGTGTTGCGGCCGCTGCTGACTCAAGTCCTTGTGTGCTGCATGTGCAGCCCAGAGATGAGTTATGGAGAAGAGGAGCAAAAGGGATCCCCAGATTCAGTTGCCTTGATGCGTCAGAAACCCTTACTCGCCTTACTCCTTTCAGGTGCTCGGATAGTACTTCTGGTCCGCCTCGGGGGTACCCCGCGTCTGTGTGGTCGCCCGTCGCTCGCGGCCGCGACTCCGCGCCGCATCATTGGCCTCGCTTATGGTTGCTGCTGGCAGTGGCTTTTGGACTCGAGTTTGACCTTCATCCCAACCGCCAGAACCTCGGAACCGCAGCCCCCACTACGGACTTTCTGACGGACTCTGTGCCGTCGACCGTTAGCTCTTAGCCAAAGAAGGGTCTGTTCAAGCCGGGTATTTTAAGGCGAACCTGTTCCTAGCATGGTGTACCTGAAGCTCGATGCAGCTGTGCAAGCATGTATTCCTCTCAGTCTTGGAATGATCTTGCAATCGAGTCTGCGATGTGCTTTGAGGATCGGACCAACGGACGCTGCACCTTGGACACTGAAGCGCGAGTTACATCATTTTCGCGCTCAGGTCCTTATCATATTCTGAAGTGAACCCATTACAGAAACAGATACTTGAATGAACCCATTACAGAAACAGATACTTGAATGCGAAGGAAGCCCGACAATACCGCCCGGTTCAGAAGGGTTGTGTCCGATGCTTATGTCTTATGTGCTCGATGTCACTGCACACTGCAAACTGAAGCAAACTGGCACATTGCAAAAACAGCACGCTGGGCCGCTGGCACGCGGTTCTACTCGGGCGGATGCCCATGTGCCTCTGGCAAGACTCAGGAATCATTGTTTCAAACTGTGCTCTGGCCTGGGGTTTCATGCGGGTTCGAGAGAGAATGTCGAAGCGACTGTGTGGACGATTGTTCTGTGACTGCCGTGGAGACTCAGAGCTGTCAGTTGCGAACGTGTGTGTGGCTGCACGAGACCTGGTTTGTTCTCAGGTACACGGCCAACATTGGCTTACCGGTATTTGAGATTATCTGAGCCATTTCTCCAGCCTCTCTCTGCTCCAGAATAATTGGCTGTATACGATGGCCATGCGTCCGGGCTGGTCATCACCGCTTCTGGGATCTTTCTTGTAAGCGGGGTTTAGAGAATGCATGGCTGCCACTGACATTGGTACAAACACAGCAAAGACGGCTTCTGGCGCACTGCCTCCAACGACTTTCGCTCCGAGAGCCTTGCAGGGAGAAGTTTGAAGTAATTCCGATGCTTTCTCTTGTGTTCCACTCCGGGTCGTCAACTGCATGTACCACAGACGCTACGTCCTGTCATGGATGTTGACACTGGCTGCCCTGCCTGCGCTAACGCGCAAGTGACGAAGGGATTGAGAGGCATGACATGAGGTTCCAGTGGCTACACCGCTAAACCGCGTGCTTACAAAGAAGAGCGAAAACGGAGAGTTGGGATCCTGCTCTGCCCTGCTTTACAACTAGAGGCACATCTCGGAGAGGGGTGCGCCTGGTCGCTGCTGGTCTTGCTGCCAGTGCGTGCTTGGTCACCCGCCATCTTGCTGGCAGGTCGGCTACCTGAAGGCTGTCATAACGGAGTGGTGCGGGTGCAGCTATGGAGTTCGAACTGCAAGAAGACGTGGCTACTATCCAGGCAGAGCATTATGCTTGAAGCCGGAAGTAGAGGATCTGTAGGTATTCGCCTGATGAACCTACTGTGTGTCGAGAATCCCTGCAGCCGGCAGAACCTTTCAGTGATCAACGGTCCCGGCCGCTTTCCCCCTGCCTTTTGCCCGCTTTGGGGCTGGCTTCGACAACAAAACAGCCGACAGCGGCTGCAGTGGGCCTCCGAAATCGGAGCCAGCGAAGGCCTTCCCTGCCTGAACCCGAAACCAGAAGCCGCGGGTTTCCGGCTTCATCCAAGCGCAGTGCCTTCAGCTGGGAGGGATGCACTGGGACCACTGTCTCCAGCGTCAGCTTGTGTCCCTTGTCCTCGAAAACCAGCAGCCGGCGGTCGCTCTGAAGCAAAGCAACATAGGGGCCGTTTGCAACCACTTTCAGAGCTCGTGCTTGCAGGAAGAGCTGTTTGCTCCCGTGCGTTTGTTGCGCTTGTTCTCCTTGGTCCTTGAGCAGCGTTATCCGATTCTCATGTACGCGGATGAAGTCTGGAACTGCAGCAAAAGAATGCTTTCGCGCAGGTCTTGTCGCATGATCCCCTGCTGAGCTCTCCATGCCCGTGCTCTTCCGCCGCTCTCTTTCGGCCGATTCTTCTCCTGGTGGCTCTGGCCCAGTTTCCGCAAGGACTGGCATGGGAGTAACGCGTCGGCGCTTGGTAGCCATTGCGCGCAGCAGAAGCTACCAAGCTCCCCAGCTTCGAAAACGAACACTGGTGGACAACTCCCGGAACCTGTGACGGCTTGCAAGAATGCTTTGACGTAGGATCGGTCCTCATTGTCATGTCAATTCAGCTGATGAAAAGGTTGCATACTGCAGCGAGCACGAAGGCTACTATGTCAAAGATCAGCCTAGGCCTGGCAAGTTAAAAGCCCTCGGCATGACCAGCAGGACTTCACTGGCACTACCAGCTCGGTGAGAGCTTGAAAGCTGTTACCATGAAACCTTCTGCGGAAAGAGAGGCCCTCCAGCTGGCAAGACTTCATGCTGCTGTCAGTTGTCAGAGCGTCTGTGGCTCTCTCAGCCCCTCTATCCCGTTCCTTCTGCTCTCACTGTCTCTGTTTGTCTGTCGGTCTGTCCTCTCAGTCTCTCCGTCTCACTCTCTCTCCGCCTCTCTATCTCGCTCTCTCTCCTCCCTCGATCTTATACTGAACCTAGACCCTAACAAAAAATACAGTTTAGCCGTTTCTTAGGGAGTAAAGGAGCCAGCAATTAAGACTTAATTATAAGTAATTGCCCCTAAGCCTCTCTCTTTTGGCCAGCCATGTGCAAGCTTCTGTGTGTGCATGCCATTTCCAGCACACCCTTATCCATGTGCTGCGGAAGCGGAGAGCAAGCTTTCAAACCTGACACCCGCAAAACCCGAAATCTTGATCCTTTGCCGAACATGCCGAACATATTAGATTTCTAAGATCTCCGAACACTAGCAAGACCAGGCATAAACATGACGATCATCAAAATGAAAAGGATGGTCATTTATTCCACAGATTCCGAGGCTCGCCTCCTTGACTCGGCTCACGCTCTTTGCTCGCGCGCCCGACCTGGAGCGCAGAGGAGCCGCAGGAATCTCGGGTTGAAGAGGCCCAAATCCGTTGCTGGCTTTGGGAGCCCAAAGTTCCCGAACTCGGAGCCAGGATTTTTTGGGAGATGCTTTGCAGGCCAAGGCATGGAGATGAGATCGGTTAGCTCCCAGTCGACCACTTTCCCTGGACAACTTTCAAATTTCAGGACGACCGCCTGAGCCGATGCCGATGCGTGCGACAGTAATGCGTGTGTCTGAAAGCGAACAATCTCGACTCCAACTGAATTTGTGCAGAAACTTACGCAAGCCGAACGTCTCCAACCATGGAAGTAAGGGACGGGTGCTGTATCCGTAGCCTTCAAAACGTTACATATCACGTAGCATCACGATCTTGTATGTCGTCGCGACATGATCATGTATTCATCGCATGACTTCCTGAAGGCAGTTCTATTTTGAACTCGCAGCGGCTCTCTCAAGCACCCGAAACATGCCGGCTGAACGCTTGAGCTGGCACCGCTCCCTGCATCGCAAATGCTTCCCAATTACGTTGTGAGGGCTTGGAAGGGTTTTCAACGTCATCCGGGCTCGCGGCACGAGGGAGGGACTTTCTGAACTCACGAGGCGAGGCACCGGGTAAGTGGCTGGTCCGGGGCTAGCTGGCGTTCCGTTGGTGGTATGACAGAACAAACGGAAACTGCTGTGGTTCTCGCGCGGCTTCAAAGTGCATCATATCTGAAGCACCCGAGAACCCCAACCTCTCATCCCCCATCGGCCTCGGCACGGGGTGCTGACAAACCCGTCGGCAAGGCTGCCCTCAAGCGGCGTTGAGGCCTGCCGCTTCAGGTGGGGCCGGGGACATGACTTGGATTTTAGTTCTGTGGAGAGCTGAAAAAGGCTTCTGAGCTGCGAGAAGACTGGCCCGCAGCTTTGCTGTCAACCAGAGTCTGCTCACTCTGCCTTTTGTGGCAGCCCTGCACGGGAAGGCGGTCGCGGCCCCCAGCTCTCCACCGGAATGGGTTGCCTTGGCACGCATGCGGCGGGCTTTAACAGCATTTTCATCTGGACCTTGCCCACGAAACTGATCAAATCCCAGTGTTCTCTCACCTTCGCACCTAAGCTTCCTCTGGGCTTGCTGCCGGGTCTTGCGCTGCTCGAAGGCATCCGTCATTCTGGCAGGAGCTTGGCTTCTCAGCTTCGGATTCAGGCTCGTCGAGGGGCTCCACCTATGAGAGAGATCGCAGCAGCACTCGCATGCACTGCACCTGGAGGGTCCCGCGAAAGCTCCGAGTCCCGCAGCGGCTGAGGCAGACGGGTCCTAGCGGGCAGTCCCAAAGTGAGTACAGCTTGCAACACAGGATACCATTCTTCTCTCTAATGCGCAATCTCTTGCCCCATGCGACGGGGGAAAAACAGTTGCAAGAGTCTCGAAGGATTCGCAAAGCCCCCGAACCCTAACCCTTCGCGCCTTCTTTCGGCTGGCGGGTCGTTTGAGCTCTTGGGGAAAATCGTGCGGCACCCTCGGCACCTGGCAGGCGAAGCTGGCGTCACGGCCTCACGGTGGATGATCCCCCCAGAAGATACTCGCAGAGGCAAATAATTTGATTACCTACTATAGATCCCTCATAACCTTGTGCAAAGGTGGCCTGACACATGGACCTCTGACCTCTGCAGTGCTTCTTTAGGCACAGTGCCAGGAGCAAAAAGCGCTGCAACACATGCGAGGCAGCACGTCGTCTATGTTCGAACTGCCGGTGGCATCCTGCCCAAAGAGCGAGCTACGAATCGCTCCTGTGTGGGCATGGGCTCTGGATGAGTGAAAGCAGCACAATGCGGCGTTTGTCAGCCATGAGGCAAGCATAAACGCCATACTTTTGCAAAAGACTGGGGTGAGCTCGGTGAGCTCCAACATCTGACCATTGACCAAGCTGTCTGTCCCTGCTCTACCCGGCGCCTCTTCCACATCATCCTGGTCGCACTTGAAAGCGAATGCACCGGAACGGAGCTCAGAGGCGACCCGATTATGGCAAACGGGCACCGGCTCTCTGTCTTTTGCACATCACTTCCCCACCTTCTAATGATGCCTTGTGTCCACTTCTTCGACTCGAATCTGTGGGGCGGTGCCGTGGTGGCAGGTGACTACCATCACTGTTGCCTCCCTTCGCAGATGTCTGCACTGGAAGATCATACTCGCATCAGTTTAGACAGTTGAACATCGTCCTGAGCTAGACATCGATCAGTGACCCAGCTTGCCCCGCGAAAACTTGGGCTGCGCCTCAAGGGAATAGTTGTCCAACGCCGAGGCTGAAGGGGTTGGAGCCACGGTGCCGATGCTACCTGGAGGTCCGGTGCTTTTGCAGGACGTCGCCAACTCATTGACCCAGCTCCCAGCAAGTCAACGCCTAAAATCAAGCTTAAGTCGTACAGGCAAGCCGTTTGTGGGAACTTTTTGGGGTAGGGCCATCCAACGTTTGCACTAAACCTCTGAATTTACTCAGGCTTTGCCATGGTCTTCAATAGCTCGCCACCATCCCAGCACTGGATGACGATTGGCCCAAGCCCAAGTGCCGTCACGGGCTGCCTGCTTTTGCTTGCAACCGAGTCGCTTTGAGGCGCTTCCTGCGATGCAGACGAGATAGACCTCGGACAGGAGATGTGCTCTCACTGACGTCTGCCTCGTCACAAGTCGCACTGATCAGCGAATCCAGCTGCAAGCTCTCCAAAAACAACAGGTACCAATAGCCCAGGACTCGAAGAAGGCAGCGGTTCACGGCAACCACCCGCCAAAACTGAAGCCTCAACCTTTGGAGACACCCGCCGTGCCACCTGTGCTGATTTTCAGCGCTGCGGATTCTGCGTTGGGCATTCTCCGCCTCAGCGCACTACGCATGCCTGCTCGGTCCAATCTTGCAATCTGGTCCAGGAATGCAATGACTTCAAACAGTGGAAACAATGGAACCGCCACGCTTGATCTCGAAGGCTTTTGATCGATGCTTACATTCCCCCTTCAGGTCCTTGGCGAATTAATCAAAGCCCTCCAGCCCCGCCCGAGATTGGTGGCAAGTCACACTCCGGGGCTCGTCCAACGCAGCACCTCAGGCAAACAGTATGTCTGTCCCGATTTCGTATCCTAACCTGGCCTGAAGCATCTGTCGATCAGTGGACTTATAAGTTCTACGTCCATAGAACTGCCGTCATGATGACAAGCGCCAGCATCAGCAATTGTGCGCAAAGTTGTTGGCGCAGGCTGAGCGCCCGGCCGTCGTGAAGATTGCCTTTTGCATAGGGCCTGTTACGAGGAGCAGTCAAGAAGCTATCTTGCTAAGCCTAAGCGGTGCCATAGGTACGGGAACAGCAACGCAAGATGCGCATCCCTCGCTGCCAGGAGTCTTCGACAAGAACGCTTGAGCGGACCATGTGCTGCGTTAGCTTGGGCATGCATATTGGCTTCTGATGCGGGCAAAAGAATGAAGGCTGCCGAAGAGCCATACGATTAGACGCATGTGACCCCCGAGCCAAAAGCCTTTATCAAATCAAGACCTGAAAGCCCATCTTGACGTTTGGGACACGAACCCCAGCAAAAGTTGAACCCCATCTGAGTGGCCTCTGCACGCTGCGGTTCATCTGCTGGCGCAGGCTGCGCGAGGCGGCCTGGAAGGCTTCGCGCAAAGCTTTCAGCTTTTCGTGGCTGTTGGCGTATAGCTCTGTTGGCTTTGTACGAGTAGCTGCGCCACTTGATGTGATGGGTTTCTTTCCGGCTCAGGGATGCACCCGCCTCGATCATGGAGGCTCGATCCATCATTCCCGAGGCCTGGCCAAGCATGCCACCAAGTTAGGTGAGGTTCGAGCAGGACGAGCTCAGCTTCAGCATCAATCGGACACTGAAACGTGCTCCGCGGGCGCGCTAGCTGCAGTGTAGCCTCGGCAGGGTGCTGCCAGTCGCAGGCGGGGAATTTTCGATTTCTGCAGTCTTTGCTTCCACTGGGGTTCCGGGCCGAAGCCGCCGTTGCATAGAGCAGGGGAAGCCACCTGGAAATAGTGGGGCGCCGCTGCATGGACTTTGCGTGTTGAAGAAGCTTCTTTTCAAAAGGACGGAGATTTGATGAATGCATCACCCGACAGCTCCTGGTCTGGGGCTGCTGCCAACCCGTTTGCTGAGCCAGGTGAAACACAAACTAGAAGGGCACCGCCAGGCCGCCAGGGATGGGGTCGAAAGCCAAAGTCTGCTCTGACTCTGTAGGCAAAGGCTGCAAGGAGTTATCCTTGGATACGTTGGCTTGAGGGTGGAAGGCTTGGGAAGTCTGTCTGTCGCTCTGGCCATGTAGCTGCAAGTGCCCGAGTTGTGCCTAGTCGGCATGCGCATGCAAGCATGAGGGGGGTTTACTGGGAGTTCAGTTTAACACATCGCTTCTCATCTGCGCTGGGCTTGGGCCTGAGGCAGCAATTGCAAACGACCACGTGGAGTTCACCTCGCTCCAGGTCTGAACATGCCGAACTAGTCGCGTAGCAGCAACCATAGCTTATAAATCCACATAAAAGAGCATATTTTGGCAGCCCCCCTAGGTGATTTCTTTTTGCATTTCTTCGCAAGAGCAAAACTTCTTCCGGCGCCGAACGAGCTGAGTGTCTGCAGCTGTCAACCGAAGGCTTCTATGGCGTGGACGATCGCGCAAGCAGTCGGGACTTTCATCGACGCCATATTATCCGTATCCCGACCTTCGCAAGGCCAATCAACAGACAGACTTGTATGAGAGAGCTGCCATGGAACGGCCAAAGGCGACAAGCACCAATTTCACATATCAACTTGGCATTCGAAGGAGCGGGGGGTCGCGGAGCGGTCGCGTTACATCGCCGGCCCTCCACAAGCCGCCCTTCGCCATCACAGCTGGTCTGTGCCAGATCGGAATCGTTTGCGTGGAGGTCCAGAGTGTGCATCTGCTCCAGGCATGCATCTTGCATGTCCGGATTTACGTGCGAAGACTCGGCTCACGCCCTCACCGGCACAGGCTCGCCAGCTGGGCCCGGGGCCTGGCGCAGAAGTCAGGACATCACATCATGTTAGCCCTGCACTGCCTGCACTGCACTAGACGAGGACGAGAACAGCGGATAAGACATGCTTCTCCCCGCGCTCGACGACATAATCTGCCCCACCCTTGTGCTACCTGAGCGCTTCTGCCAAATCCATGTCTGAGGTTGCAGTAATGAAATCTCCGCTGAAGAGACTCATGTTTCGTTGCATCAGCAACGGCCTCGGCTGGCTGCTGGTACCTAGCGCGAAGGAACGACTGAAAACACAACCAAACAGTGAAACAGTTAAACGAACGTAAGTACATGGATAAATAGGCAAGTAATTATGTGCCAGATGTACGGACATGAACACACAATCCGACACACACACACATAAACCAACACACACACACACACACATATATATATATATATATATATATACATATGTGTATCTGTATGCATATACATATACATATACATACATACATAATACATACATACATACATACATACATACATACACAAGCAGAGGCACATGCACACAGGCAGACGGACGGGCAGACAGACCAATAGAAAGGCAGCAAGATAGACATACAAGTAGGTAGGCAGGCAGGCAGGCAAACACACGACATACACTTACTTGCATCACACTCCTTTACAGTATGTTAGACTTCATTCCATTCTTTACATACTTAAATACATGCATGCATACATACTTAAACATATATATATATACATTCCATACCGTTTCGTTGCATTTCATTCCAGGCCATACATACATAGGCATGCACACGAGCTGTTGTGGCTGTCGTACGAATCGAGGGGCGTCAGGCTCGGCCGCCCAAGAACAAACTACTCGTGACTACTAGCCAAAACGGCAGCACACTGTGATTATCTTTGCAGTTGCTGCTGCTGCTGCTGCAACTTCGATATCCTTGTTATCAGTGTTCTTCGTTGTGATTCGATTTGACACACAACGCCCGCCGACATCACAGCCAACAAACTTTGAGTATACGTTGTGGCCGCACCACATGTGGTTGAAATGCTTCCATCTCATCGAAGAGATGCTCACACTAAGTTGCACCACTGAAGAGGGTATGGCAATATGATCGTGATGCAACACGGTGCAATGCACCAGCAAATGGGCTACTGCACTGCATAGAAACACTGACGCCTGTACCCCTCAACCAATTGCAAACAGAACATTCCCTGCCCGGCCCGCTGCTGCTAGCTCAAGGGTGTAAGGTTCTTCTTCACACTTCTTATGTCCTTTTCTATGACCCGCCGATTTACGACAGGCCTGGACCGTGGGAAGGTGGAGGGGTGTGAGCTTGGCAAACAGTAAGCTGCCATACGGATAGATTTGTGATTCTTGTCAGGATCTAGGATTGGCAGTTCCGAAAGAGGTTCTGGTGAAGCGGATCCTCAAGTAGCAGGCGGAGGCCGAAGCCCAAGCCAAGAAGCAACAGAATCAATTCTTGAGACAGCTCAGAAGCTCCAGCGTGGGCCTGGAACCGAAAGGTTTTGGCTGAATCCAACTCCGACTATCAGGCCCTGAACTCCCCATCATTTCCCTCCCAGGGCCTGTGCCGCGCGTCGGCGTCGGAGTGCACGGCGCAGCTCCCGTCGCCAGAGGTCATCCCTGCAAAGTAGTTGCAGTTCTGTATTATATAGCGAAGTGGAACACTGACATGGCATATCGTGGTTGAGACAGAATGTAGCACAAGCCCGCCAAGCCGAATGTGGGACCGTCGGGGGACTTGGGGTGCCCTGGCTTTGCTCAAGACAGGAATGCTTACGAGCAACGTCCTTAGGGTACCGTCTTGAGCTCTTCAGGCCTGTACTGCAGCAGCGCTCCCGACACACGCTTGAAGTTGCGTGCAGCGGCGGTGGCAGCTGCGGCGACAGAATCCTCTGCGACAGTGCTCACATTACAGAGTTCGCACAGATACTGGGCTGATGGGACTGGCATCTGATGGGCACACGGGACCTGCTCCACATAGAGCGCTTCGTGCGCCAAGCGGAGGCGCTCAAGAACTTCCTCCAGCAAGTGGCCCGGTGCTAGCTTGTGCGTGGTGAGGCGTGGTGCTGCAACAATGACGGCTCTGAGATACCGTTTCCGTCGGAGCCTCCACTCTTCCAAGATCAAACGAACACAAAACAGCCCTGTATTCACACTGAGAAATTCAAACTCACAAGGCGGTAGAATTCCGACAAGGCATATCGTCCTCAGTCAGGACCACAGCACAGAACAGTGTGTCATCATGTTATTATTTCCTCAGGCACGGCAATGAAAAGTTGGAAAGTTAAGGGGGGGCCTGCAGGAATGGACTACTTCGACACCACAGTTTGGCCGTTTAGCTTCCTCCAGTCACATCCTGGCAATCTCTGATTCCGCTTGTGTTTTCACCCCAGGTCCGCGCAAATGCGGTGTGGCAGAGACCGCAACCGTCGTGCAGCTAGCGGGGGCTGGCCCTGTCGAAGAAGAATGTTGAATGTGACTGCAAGCCCAAACAGTCCAGCTGCAGCACGTAATGCCACCATGTTAACACTTGTGCGCTCATGCAGTAGCTTCTGATATAATCGAAGCCTCTGACTTACTCTTCACTGCAGTTCCTGCGCATCTAATCACATTCACTGCTTGCGCCTGGCAATCCAGAGCCATTAGGAGGCGTCTCCTGAAGCTGATTCCAGCAAAGTCAATGTCTGAAATAAGGGTAGCTAGAGATGCATCATGCCATGTAACTCGAACAGTACAGAAGCAAGCAAACAAACCTGGGCAAGCAAATCAACAGTTGACTAAGCACGCGCACCCACGCACATACATACGCATACATGTACATAAACACAAACGCATACATACACACATACGCAAAACATACATGCATCCACACACACACACACATGCGTATGTACATACACACGTACATAATCATAGATTCGTGCATACACACATACATGTATCCGTATAATCTTAGTCTTAGTATGAGTATACATCTGCACATGTATGTGTATATGCGCATATACAGTTGTATGCGTAGACATGCACAGACGCAGATACTGATACACATGCATGCACACATACACATACGTATGACAGTGGATACGTCAACAACGACACATGCACATACATTTACATATGCATAAGATGCATACATAGAGAAGCATGCATATACTACATATATACAAACATACCCGCAGATGCATACACACAGATGAACTAAATAACAACTAAGAGACGTGCACATATAGATACACACATGTATGTATATACATATGCATATCTATATCTATATCTATATATATATATATAGAGAGAGAGAGAGGCACCTGTACAAAACCACATGTACATACATCCGAATACATCCGCGGACATCCAAGTGCATCCAAGTACATCGAAGTATATACATCCATGCAGCCATGCAAGCATCCGTGTATCCATCCATCTATCCATCCATCTACCCATGCATTTATCCATGCATTTATCCATCCATTAATCCATCCATCCATTCATCCATCCGTGCATGCATGCATATTTAGACATACGTGTCTTGAGAACACATAGATAGCACAGCATCGCTGCGCAGCCTGGCAGCTAGGGCTGAATCCAGATCCCAGCAGCACGGGGAGCCTTGTTGGGAACGGCAATCGCAGATCCCAACTTAATGAACCTCCTGTCTCTAAGATCTTAACATTCGGATTCCGAGCATAGTCCTGACCAAGGGAGGGGGGGTATGTTCATAAGGGTCTACCTTCGTTGTCGAAGCCAGGGATGATTTTGGGAGCCCGCAAAGCTTATGCCATGCTAAGTATCGTTAAACGCCCGGGTTCAGGCACCTGCCCATGGCAGGACTTGATGACCTTGATGTTGAGCGTTCGCGAAAGTTCCGAGTAGAAGTCATGATTCAATGAGCAAGTTGAAACGTGAAGATGCACAAGTGGAGATCGCAGACGGACAGTGTGAGAGTCCGCAGCCGACATGCGGAGGCTTTGCAATGTATGACCGGATTGCGCAGCACAGGAGTCAGCGGCTTCGTGCAGAAACCAAAATTCCGGGAAGAACCCTTATCTTCCGACCGGAACTGTCATCCGAATTCAAAACCCCCAATCAAGTAGACGAGCTGGGTCCAAGCCGAGCCGAGTTCCCGGCGCAAGAGCGAATTAAATCCTGTCAATGTGCAGGGTTTTTGTCAAGGGTTTCGTGGAGGATGCCATGACCAAGTCTAGCCAGGGCTTGCTTCTCCCACGCAGACTTACCAGCCAGCACATCGCTTCAATCCCCGAAAGGGTCGCTCAGCCTGATCTCAGGAATACTGCAACACCCCCCTTTAACGCCCTCAAAAACCGTGCCTCCTCCCAGCTGCACTGCAGCATAGAAGCGCAGAAAGAGGGCCTCCGGCCTGACAGCCCGGCTTCCAAGAATCGGACTTGAGAATTGCAAGAGTTGCCGCACTCGGCGTTCACGGGAGAGTGCAGGGCGGCTATGGCAGGGTGTGAATGGAGGGAGTTCTCCTGCCGCCTGAAAACTTTCCCGCGTGCGACATGGCTAAACTAACATCCTTGCGAAAATTCTGAGTCTTGCTTTTCTTTGCTTCACTCCATCTGAGGATGCAGCTCCTTGCCGGCTCCTCCTGCACGCGCCTGTCGCCGCTTGGAGCCTGGCAGGCTTGGCAACGCTGAAGTCGTGGATCCGGCGGGGTCTTGCTTGCATCGGGCGTGCGGTCGGCTCTCCCCGGTTTGCGCTGGGCCAACACACGAAACACACAGACCGAAACGCAGACAATCTCAAGAGTCACAGTCTTGACGAAGACTTCTTCTAGTGGTATGACATCAGATCCCAGACGAGCCCGGTCCTGGCATCTTTGAGCAGTTGCTGACCTGCCGGGGCAAGAGGGCGTTGAGGTGCCGGAGGAGTACGAGATACGACTGCTCACTAAGCTGGCTGCGTGCAGCAGAGCAGGAAGGTGTCAGGGGAAGATTACTTGTGTGACATGGTGTCATTCTTGGACGGACGGATCCGGAGGTAAGAAGTAACCTTCCGATTTCATCTTCCAATGCCATGAGTTTTTCTGGATGCCCTGACCATGTGGCAGTCAGTTTGTAGGCCAAACGGACAAGGCTGGAAGTCTGTCTGAAAGGCAAGCAAGAGGAGTTTCCACGGTAATATTTCAACAAAATACAGCAGTAGCCTGCTGCACCTGTCGCAAGCTTTGTAAACATCTTGCCAAGGGCCTTTGCAGCTTCCCGAATAACCTTCTGCTGAGACCTTCCCAGCCCAACTGTCCCCAAAAAAGCACATCATTGCCAGCCTCGGCGGCGGAAGAAGATTGGCCTGAAGGCTGTGGAAGCCGTAAGAGCCGCCGTGTTTGCTTGGAACTTCGCGAAACATCGAAGCTTCGGCACTGAAATTTGTCCATCCGGCCTGACAAGCTGCTTGCCAGCGCCGTGCGGATTGCCTGCAAAGTAAGTCTGCAGAGAAGACATGGATGAGTTCAATCGTTCCCCGTGGTGAGCCAGCAGAACACGCCTCGTCAAAGGAGTGGCCTGTGCTCAGAGCCCCCTTGACGAACCTGCCAACGTCCAACTGTGAAATCGGAATTCAAGAAGCACACGCGGCCACATGTGAAGGTACAGGCGCAACACTGCGAAATTATGCAAAACTGCGCTCACATCTGTTGCTACTTGCTCGCTCTTGGCGATGCTGACCATGATCGACATGTCGGAGGTTGGGGGATGCTTGGTGCTGAGGGTCGTGGCGGTAGTGATCGTGGCGGCGGCGGTGACGATGGAGGCAGGGAGACACTTGAGGAATATGTCAGTCAAACAAATGTTCCGTCACATGGGCGTCCTTTTCAGGTGAACAGTGACCGCTACGCTTTGGCAGCAGGGCCTCTTCGCCCCCGTCAGAACCTGTCACATCGTGGCAGAGGGCACAAACACGAACAGACTCCGAGTTGCAAGAGACATCAATGTGGTATTCAATTCAAACAATACGCCTTCGCAGACTGGAGCCGCTATGAAACGTCGGCTGCTACAACAACCTAGATGGTACTTCCTGAAGACTACCCCGTTCCCGAGATCTTTTGAGATGTTGCTGCTTCAACCTGACTGTCATTTCGGAGAGCCTTGAGCACATTAGGACCTTATGGATCATGCGCCCCTGTCCGCCAGAGCCTCACCGTCACGAAGTGCGGCGTGGTAGTCCCTCCGCATCCGGGAAACAATGTGCAAGCCGGGCAGGCAGATGTTGGCAAAATACCTGGGCCGAGGATGGCCAAGATGTCGCTTATGTCGCTCATGCCAGGAACATAAGGCTCTCAATTTTCCATACCACCTTTGCAAACGGGGACATTGGAAGAATAGAGCAGCTGCACACATGTATACAAGCTGGCCTCTACGCAGCTTTCCACTCGCTCGGGACTGTACCAGTGACTGGCTGCACCTGATACCCTCGAGCGCTGGATGAGGGTGCCCACACTGCTCCTGCAGTTGAAGCAGCATCGACAGATCACACTGCGGGACCGCACCTGCACGCAAACCGACAACAGTGCGTGCATTGGCGTGCCTTTCATTCGATGAGGTGGCAGTGGACCTCGGGTTTCCTTCAGCATGGCAAGGACCATGCTGGTGTCCATCCAGCTGGGGATGTTGAGGATGCTGAGAGTCCTGGCATTTTGGAACTTCTACATTGTATCGTGCTTACCATGAAGCATCCAATGCTCGGCGATCGAATCAAGAGAGAACAAACGCAACCAGCGACGGGATCTCCTCAATCTGCCCAGAGGGCCGCGAGCCAGCCAGAATCCAGGACTGCCACATCAAGACTCTCGAAAACCATTTTCATGCAGTCTGCAAGAATGAACATCTTTGGAGGCCTAGCCACGACGAACTAAGCACTCTTATCTTCAGCTTCCCACGCCTAGCCAAACCTACAAAGCAAAACGATGTCAATCATGTCCGAAGCAAACCCGCCCACCTCCAGCCCCCGACGCTCGGGTTCAGTGAGATCCCTCTGGAGCGCTTCGGCGCGGCGCCTCGAACGGGCTGGGACGCCCAGGGAAGTTGTTGGGTTCAGGGGTGTGAACTTTTTTTTTGTTTTTATCGTTTGGACTTGGGGGTTCTAGTTAGAGCTTTTTTTGAGCACCCTTTTCCGTCAGCAGGTGCCTTCAGAATACCAGGTTGGTTGAGGGATGGGAACACTATACCATACTGCATGATCAAAAACTGCCACAAATGTGTGAAACTACTTCGAACTCAACCTACACTCAAGCGTTCCCTGTCAGCTTGGACACCTCTCGGCACAGCACTCCTTGGGTTAGGTTTGACATGTGTGAAAGATCGATATTCAACCTGACACACACACACACAAACACTTGAAAACAACCCCTGGCCAGAGTTTAGGGTTCAGGACTTGGGCTTCGGAGGCCATTCATAGCTCGTCTTGGGACCACACCGGTGGGTTGCTTTTCGATTAGGTTTGAAGAGTTGGAAGGCGGGCGCTGGGCGGGTGGGGAGGGGTGGGACCTGAGGCTCCCATTGCTTTCAAGCGTAGAAAAAACACGGCTCCCGGCACGGCTGTGCTTCAAGCAGAGATCTCTGGATCCCCCATTGTCCCGACCCAGCGATGAGAGCCAGGCATGGGGCTCAACTTGCCCAACAGCTCGTAGATCTCTTCGAAGGCCTGCAGCCAGGAAGAAACCAACTTGTGGTCCGTTGTCTGAAGTTTGGAGAGCTCCAAACTCCAAAACTATCGCTTTCAAAGCCAGAGCTCAAAGCCAGAGCTGGGCCGAGTCTTAAACTTGGTCTTAGCTAGACTCTTCTAGTCTGGCGCCGTAGTGCCTTCTAGGAACACTTAGCCCGCTGGGCCTGGGACCACCCCGAAGCAGGATCAGTGCCTATAGTTCGATAGACCAGGGAGCACTCACCATTCAGCGAACAGACAAAGAGAAGCCGCGACAGAAGCGACCTTAGTACTTCTTCGCGCTGCGTGCCTCGCTGCTAGGAACATCGGCCCCGGGTCCTCCAGGAGATCTGCAGACTTTCTTTGAAGCTCCAAGCTACGTCAGCTACGAGTTTGTCCAGGTTACAGGTCAGGTTTCTATCCAATTCACCGATTACCGGCTGGAGGTCTGCCTGATTCGAACCCTGGCCGCAGGACAAGCAAGCCTGAGGGCTAAGTTCCTTCAGTTGCTGCAGCGGCCGGCAGAAAGAGACTCACAATTCTACCTGGCCGCGTCCTTGACTGCCGTCACATGGCTCTTTGCATGACATTGTCATACCATAGCTGCCAGAGACCTGCATGACTCCATGCTGCAGCTACCAGAATTGCCGGCTTCTCTGGGTCCATGGTTCACTGTCTTGACCCGGCAGAGCACAGCCGACTGAGCCACCCAACTGTGAAATCTGCCATTCTGGCAGAGTCCTGCCAGGACCGAAATGTGGTACTAGCGCGGTCCAAGAAGGATCAATGAGGACCGGCCAAAGAATCGGACATGTGCAGATATAAACACAGTCCTTGCTCATTCGGAAGATGGATTAGGCCTCAAGTGTGCTGCAGTGTGCGCCAATACTGTGATAGCATGACCCCCGCCGAGCCATCGCAACTCGCACAAAAATCATTCCAGCCGGACTTCTCGAGCTCAGCTTCCCGCCCTCCTACCGCGCCTGCAAACGAAAGCTGAATGTGAGGGCAGAGGACGATTTGGGGCAGCACGGAACAAGGCCCCGCCTGACCCTCCTCAGAGACCTCGCAAGCCTCCTCCTCCTCTCGGCCCTCCTGCGAGATCCGAGTCTCCCCCAACGGGCGTTAAATCGAGGACCAAAGCGTCACCCTGGAGGGAGCGTATGGCACAAACAGAATCATCACATCTCTCCATTCTACTGGAACTCCGGAATCAGCGAATGCTGGAAAGGAGACACTCCAAGCTGGTGGCAAGTGACAGCAAGCCTGCGGTATCCCTCTGGAGCTCCTGCCCTCGAGAATGGTCATCTCCATATCGCTCATCATGACGAGGCCGGACACCACCTAAGTCTCGTGCGAGTCTGCTTCTGCGGAGCTTCAGGATGGGTCAACTTTCGATTTCTCCTGCAGTAGAAGCACAAGTCGTTGTTGCCACGGATATCACCACGACCACGAGACGAACAACACTACCAACGCTAGAATGTGTCACTATTGAGCATTAGGTTTTCCTTGCTTGGCATGCGAGTCTTTGTGCCTCGAGGCTTTGTTGCATGTACTGCTGCTTCTGAAGCCTTTGCGAAAGGAGGCGCGGAGGCAATGGATCTGATTCCTGCAAGGAATGGCCTCCCAACACAAGGTCTGCGACATTTGCAATCTGCCTTTCATCCTCCTGTGCACGGGTCGTCTAAATCACGTGGAACCCACGTGGAGTGCGTGCTCAATTGCGGAGAAGACACGGAGTGCGAGGAGGAGGTCATGGCGTCAAAAGTCATGTCCTGACAATTCGAGAGCCAACAAACTGATTCTTGAACGTTGTCTCGCTTGATGAGTGCTGCACCTCTCTTTGCAGGTGTACCGAGGCCCACACAACGAAGCGTGACCTCGGCTGGAAGGCCACTTGCATGATGAGCGGTGCTGCCGGGAGGAACGCGAGCCCATTCTCTGCCCATCGACGCCGAGGTGCGGTGAAGGTTCTTCGCCGGGCACTGGCGAAGCAAAGCTCTGAAAAAGTAGCCGAAATCGTCGCCATGAATTCTCTGAATCACTGAACTTACGAGAACGAATTCACACACACGCGGTACCAGGGCAACCAACTGCTCATGTCGCTGCGGGCTGCTTGGTAAGCAGTCCAAGTCCAGCGCATGAGTGTCAATGCACAGCACGACTCATACCACAGGCTGCGACGGATCAGGAACTAGCAACGAAGCATGGTAAAAGCAACGCAAGCTCTCCACCTGTTCAGGCGGCGGAATCTGGTCCTCAGGGTGAAACACACGACGGCCGTGGAGCCTGGAGTGGTGCCTTTGGCAGCCAAACCGTATCTGCATTTCTTGTAGTGTTGAAGCCCTGTTAAGACCCTGCAGTCTTGTGGATTAATACCGCTGGTTGAAACTCAGCTGTAGGTGGCTACGGTTCTGAAGCCATAAACGATTTCCGCATTCAATTGTGTGAAAGAGACTCGGGCGCCCAGTCACCACCCTGGCAATGAAACGTCAACCACACAAGCAGCAAATAGCGTGTTCGGACAAGGGCTCCTATGAGCTACAGCAATGCACTGTGGTTTCATGTCAAGCCGTGTCCCACTCCCCCGCCCCCAGTGTTACACAACGTCATTCGTGCCAGGTAGGCATGGGCCCAGGGCGTCGTTGTCCTCCAGTCTCCGAAGCCTGAACGAGACAACACGGAGAAGCCGTCCGACTCCAACGGTGGCAAGGCACCCGTAACCCGAAGAATAAATCCTGAGAGGCCATGCCCTGCATTACCGGAGTTCTAAATACCTGCAACTTCCGTTAAAGCAGTCGTGCTGCACGGCATCCTTCAGCATCCCTCAACACCCAACACCCCACCGGCTCTTCCGCGGAGCGTGGTGAGGTCTGGAAGGCTACCGCAGGTGCCCATCCTGTCATGGCAGCGACTTGTCTACAGTATGCCCCTATGCCCTGCTGTGCTCACTGATTGGTGTCTAGCAGCCCGTTCCACCCGGTTCGCACAGACATGCATCAAACTACTGGCCAGCGCTGCGAGAGTTCGGAGAAAAATATCTGCAAGTGCGGTCCTTGGGTTGATGCTGGCCACACCAGCAGCACGCATCCCGGGGAGGGCCTTGCGACAGACAACGGCAGAGGATGCGCCGCTCGTTCGTAACTGCCCACACGGATTTTTGGGATCCACAGCTGCAGTCTGCCAAGATCTGAAACTTAGACTCGCAGAACCCAAATCCAGATGCCCGAAAAAGCATCTGCAAGTGCACAAATCATCCCCAAAACTCAACCCCTCAAAACCTCAGAAGTCTGAGTCACAATTTTGACGCTGCAAGCCCGGAAAGCTAAAGCCTTGAGCTCTTGAACCCACAAATCCCAGGGACTTAAGCCTAAATCCACAAAAGCACATGCAACCATAAGCCCCAGAATTCCCAAACCCTACTGCACCAAGCCAGACTCTGCAAGGCGTACCCGAAAGCCTTAAACCCGAATAGCACCAAACCCTGCAGCCCCAAATGACAAAACCCGAACCTATAGTTAGGACCGTGCGCCCTATAGGCCTGAAACACCTCAGCCGAAACCTCCGAAGTTCGGGATTTTTGGGAGACTCGACTCATGGGCCGTGGGCCTCAGCCACCTTTCGGATCCTGTCTTGGCGCTGCTGGTTCAGCTCTACCTGGGGCCCCCCGACCAGGGGCTTCGGTTGAAATTGCACATTGATGCACAGTTCGTGGCTGCTCAAGTGCCCGAGCTTGGAGCTTGATTCCGATAGTGGTTGTGCCTCAGATGAGGGTAGTTGAGGTACTCGCTGAACTCACTGCACACCGGAACACCGACTGCCTGTTCTCAGTTGCAGGCCCATCCTCCTCACGATGAAGAGTGCATGCTACCTCAGCGTCCGCGCAAAGCCAATTCTTCTTCTGCCAAGTGTGGGCTGACTTCCTTCTGAAGATACAAGTTCGCACCAAACGTTGCCGACAGCGTTGTGCCAAGATGACAGAACTGTGGTCCCTCGCGGCACGGAGCTCGCGGTTTGCAGCCATGGCGGTGTCATGCGCCTGGCGCTCCTGGTGCTGCGGCAGGCACTTCTCGTCACACTCTCACATTACTGTACTGGGAGCGTGCTTCGTGCTTGAATACCGTGCCCCTTGCGTCAGGGCTCCTTCTCTGCAAACACCCGTAAGAGGCTCTTGAGTTCGTGATTTAGCGCCACGACTTCGCACATCATCATAAATCCCAAGGCCTGTGGATAGCACAGATAAGCTTGACCTGCTGACGCTCCACGCAGCTGTCCGCACCTAAATGTTGCGACGGCAGTCACGACGAAAGTGCTGTTGCTTTTGTCGCTGTGGCAGCTGCGAAGAGCGCATTGATGGTGGTGGTGATGACGGTGGTAAGGACGGCGGTGAGGATGATGAAGCTGTTCATGCCGTTGATGGTGATGATGAAGTTTTAGGAGCATGGTGACGGGTGGCATGGTGCTAATCATCATGTCATCATCCTCTCCATCTTCCTCCTCCTCATCATCACCTTCTTCCTTACTGTCGCTGCTCCAGGTCGATAGCATGCTGCTGCTGTATCTTTCTTAAAGTGTAGGTTGGACTTTCTGATGCTTTGTGCTTGCGTCTTGCGCCGTAAGGAGGGCTGTGCGCTCAACTTAAAGCCTGCAGCGGCAGCGCGGATCCTTAGAGCTGAAGTTGCCGAAAGTTCGGGTCACCTGTAGAGACTGAGACCCACGAGACCGACAGAGCAGTGCAATGTCCAGTCCCGTTCGTCCACTCCGCTCACGAACTTCACCATGCCTCGGCCGCCGAAGCTTTTCAAGACCGTGCGCTGTATTTGAGGCAAAGAACGAAGGTACGCTGCTCGTAACGAAGACGCCGCAAGCACCAAACAGTGTCGAAGACGGTCCCAGGTGTTTCATCCAACAAAATGTCGCTCCATCTACACCAACTACATGGGGCCTGATTGGTGTGTCGCCTTGTCTGAGCACCTCACTGGCCGATCGAGTCATCCTCAGCAAACTGCGCATGATGCCGCAGGGACTGTTTCCTCTGGGCCTTTAATTCATGCTGGGGTTGATTATGGATGGTTGGCACATTCGTTTCTCACATTGTGTCAGCCGACAGACTTGGCTCACGACTGCGAGATGTTGAGAGGCTTCCCATTCTCCATGGGCATCGTTGAAATCTGCAGCGAAGTTGGCGGTTGCAGATTTGCGGCACGACTGCATGAGCATCGATCGGAGCAAGCACCATGGACAAAGGATGCTGAGACTGAAATTCGTGGTGGCGCAAGGCTGCCTGCATGTCCCGCTCGAACTTCACCCCCGGTCGAAGGGGATCGGTGCCAATATAGGGAACATACTGCACCTAGGTGCCCGAGAGAGGAGACATGCCATGGGCCATACTGGCTCCGGTCAGCTTCGTAGTGTGCCACGGTACCACTTTTTAGTTGAGACTCCGGCGTGACCAGCAAAGCCATTGCCGGTCCAGTGCCTTTTCGAGGCATGCATTGACATCTCCAGTTCTGGGGTATTTAGCTGCAGTCAAACGGTCGTTGTCGACTTGCTCTCGGGCTGCTAAACCAAGGCCTTGGATGCATGTCGTTCTTCGCACGGACCTGGCACAGAGCAACATGGCCCCCGTCGAGCAGGACACCACTTCGACACAGACAGGCTCCGCGGCATTTAGACTCGCAGTTGAAGTTCAAGTCTAGGAGTCTAGGCTAGGTGGCTGCAGAGCAATGCCGGCCACGCACATAACCTAATTACACCCGACCATGCCATACTTCTACTTACAGCGCATCAGGCAGTGCATGAGGCTTGTGGATGTGTCTGCTGAAACTGGGGCCGCTCGGGATGGCGTTGCTGGCAAAGCAAGTCGAAAGACTCTGACCTCATTGATGAGCATGTTGTTGTAATCCTTGATTGCCGCTCTGTGTTCGCCTGGAGCAGGCCACGGGAGCCCAACATCACTCCTGTATACTTATTAATGCAGAAGCAACCCAGAAGAAGCCCATTTCGCCGAATGGCGGCTTGCATTTCTCCTCGTGTCCAGGTACACCGGCCTGAGTCTGGCAGCGAACAGGGCACAACACCCATGCAATGGACAGAGTGCAAGGCAATTAAGCCTCCGTGCACCGCAACACGCAGATTGGGAAAAGTGGATCGCTAAGCTTCGATTGTATGATGGATGTGAGCAGCCTAAGCCCGGAGTTTCCTAAAGCTGCTGAACTTACACAGAACCCCAAAATCTTACAGAACAAGTGTAACTTGCTTTCCGGGCTCGCGACGCCGGGGTCTCTGTGAGGCTGAAGTCCAGTGCAATGCCCTTGCGCCGGGGAGCCACAGCCTCAACAAAGCTGCAAACTCCTCCAGGTCACACAGTCATATAAGCCCCTTGTTCCTCATTCCTCATTCTCACCATCTAAGACTCTAAGAATGACATTTATTGGTAAATCAACCAAACTGAAAGTTGAAAATCAATGGCACTGGACAAAGCCGCAAGGATGATCCTTTGAATACTTGCAATCCACGCGCTTCACTATGCAACGCTTGTTGCCCAGCCTGCGGCATCGGAGCACTGCTGGAGCCCACGAAACTTGTGACTAGGGCCTACTAGGGAAACTGGAGTAGCATGGGTGGGCTAGACTGCTGCTCGCGTGCCGCTGGGCAGCTGGCAGTGTGCGTGATTTCAGAAAGATGATCTAGGAGCTGCTCTTTTGTACTCTTGCGAGCCCAATTTGTCCTCCCTTCGCTCTCAAACGCTCGGAAAGCTCTAGCGGTCGGGGAATGCGATTCCGAGGCAGGCGGACCAGAATGATTTCCTCGTGCTGCGAAAGGCAATCCGAGACGTCTGACTTTCAAGGAGTCTGCCAAAGAAGCAGGGGCACTAATCGTGCTGCAGACCTCCCTTCAGAGAAACGCGGATCTATTTCTTGAGATCTCCTTGAAAGGCTTGTCAGAGGCAACTTGCCCTGGATAGTCCAGGCGTGCCGATTCCCAGAGGTAGCCAACTCCCAAAGGTTCCAGTGCTCGGTGAGGTTAGCTGCACATGGGTTCGGAGAATCCTGCAGCTTTGGGATCTGGGCCTGGGCGCTAGGCGCTAGGCGTTCAAGTGGAAGCCGAGGCTCAGAAGAGCCGGAGGCTCAGGGGCTCGCCACCGGCTCAACCGTCGAGGCAACGGAGACCGGCGAGGCTGCAGCCGCCTTAAAGAGGGCTTGCAAAAAGTCTACTACAAGGATTCTCTCCCTTCCGATTCTCCCGCTCTTAGACTTGAAGGCCGCGGAGGTCGCAGAGCTGATCATGTGCTTCGTGCAGGGCGGGGACATCCCCCTTGCTGAAGCTCGATCCACTGAGCCCGAGGCGGAACCACCCGGGCTGGCTGCTGGAGTGGTTACCTCCTCGCGGGGACGACGCTTTTTGAGCTTTTGGCTCCTTGCCGGCCTTGCCTGGAAGAGAGACACACGCCGATCCGAACCCTTCCCCGTCCACGACGAAGCGGTGGCCCAGCAGCTTGTCGGCGTAGGGCCGCCTTGTGTGGTCCCGGTTCAAGGTGCGCCTCGGAGCGACTGAGAGAGGTTTCGCAGGTGCCTAATTTGCTGCGGGAGAGACTCGTATGTTCGAGCATGGCAGGTTTCCCAAATCAGAACCCGAACTCCGAAACTCTATCCCGAAATCAAGACCTCCAGAACCCTGTGCTCTCTTTCAGCTCTCTTCGGTTCTGACTCACCATCCGAACCAAGCCTGTATCTCCAGATCTTTTTCAGATTGCACAGTTCTGGTACTACTTTGAAGTCTATGGCAACTGCTGAGCGTCCCGGCTCCAGGAAGCTACGGCAGTCCGGATGGATCTTGTCCGGAAGTGGCGGGATCTCCGGGCCATGTTCGGGGACGATAGTTGGGGATCGTCTCTCTAGGGACGTAGACCAGATCGTAGCTAGTACGGGTAACCCCTCGCAGAGGCTGAGCTAAGGCGGAGGTTCTCTTCGTGTTGTCACAACTGCCGTCCAACAAAACTTGGTTCGACTCGTGCCCGTGAACTGATATGTGCTTGAAAAGTCTGGAAGTCGCTGGGTGGTGTTCTGTTGGACACGGACACGACGGACACGCAAGAGGCCCATCTTGGACACAGTGCGGACGTTGCTCCTCATCGCTGTCCACGATGTGACGGAGCATCTCCGTAACTGGCAACTTGTGCTCCCTGAGTCAGGGGACATTAGTCATGAGTCTTGCTGGACATTTAACCAATTCAATTCGAAGCTCAGGTGCGATCATTTTTAGCTTTCAGGGCCCCCCCCAAACATCTATGCAGAATAGCATCTGACGACCATCCCTCGAATTTGAGAAACCCACGTCGTTCACTGACTAGCCTGACATCCGTCGCATCTGGCAGGCATTCACTTCAGATGAGGCCCTGCGGCTTTTGTCACGCTGAGGTCGCTGCCGAAGGTTCGGCCATGGTGCCTGCGTCCATGGATTAGATTCGATTGGACAGCAATGGCCACCCTGCGATTCCGGCACTTTCAGAAAATGAAGCCCTGTTCGCTCCGTCACCTGCTGGGCACCCGTGATCTGTTTCCACATGTGACGCATGCTGGCCAACCGGAGACCCCAACATCTGCAATATCCCGCTGCCCCCTCCCCAGCGTGCGTCGGCTGTGATCATCTCGATCACGGTGCAGCCTAGGCTCCAAATGTCCTGGCCAGAAGCTCAGGGCAGCACTGCTCAGTTCTCGGATGAACGCTTCGTTTGGAGGATCTCCTACCTACCACAGTGCAGCGCTCATCATTGCAAACCTGGGTCTGAGCTGTTCTGAACTCGCCAGCGGGACCGATCTTCTGCCAGCGCGGTATTTCATCACCTGCCCGATGGCTGGGGACCAAAGCCCTGTGCAGTGCTCGGAACACTGAGACAGATGCTGAGAGCACCGGACAAAGATCTGATGGATCACTTTGTTGGCTTAGGGACGTTGCCATCTATCCCGACAAGGATATGCTTGCGACAACTGTGTCTTATCAAGAAACCACAAACGCAAACTCGGAAGTCGACGGGCCTCGGGCGCCATCCAGAAAACACTTCCGTGGATGGATTTGACGCCCCCGGTGGTGCAAGTGCCGTGGAGGGTGTGCAGTGCCTCCGGCAGGCCGAAGACCAACAAAAACTTGGAAGCACGCCACAGAACCTGAGAACACCTTCGAACCTGGGGCCCAGGAGTCCCCTCGTGGAGGCCCAGGTAATTCGACGCCTCGAGATTCTGCGAGGCACCGAAATCGGCCAACTTGGCATCTCCATGGGCGTCGATGAGAATATTCGCACCTGTGCTTCTTTGGCGTTCTGGGGAAGGCACTCTGACTCTTACCGTCTCTTGACTTGAAGCTTGAGATGCTTAGGCGAGGCCACACATGCAGCACCGAGGCGGCTACCCTTCACATCCCGGTGGACGATCTTCTCCGTGTGGAGAAAGTCCAGGCCTTCCAAGATCTGCCTGCGGCTTGGGGCTTGGGTGGAATTCCCCGTTTAATCATGTCAAGAGGAAGATGAAGAGCCTACAGTAAACCTGTGACAAGAAGGAATGAAGAGGGGAAAACAAAGTGAGCTTGCGGCTTGGGGTCGCACCTCGTGTACTTCTTCACGAGTCGGATGCCATAGGGACCGAACTTCTGGAGCACCTGGAGACGCGGCGGTGCTCTTTCAGGAACTTGACGGATTCGGAGCAGCAACTCGTCTGAGACAGACTCCGGCCACACCCAGTTGGTCGCACTGCGACATTCCTACCTTCTCACAACCACTGTAGCACCGGAAAGATTGCTTCTCAGGTTTTCTCAGGCACCAGACTCGCAAGCTCACAACATGTAGCAAAGGCAAGGCTCAGGGCTTAAGGACAGAAGTTCAAAGCCCCTCTGGAAACTGTCCCCAGATCAATTGAGCTGCTCCCTTGATGGATCCGCTCGGCATGTACTCCAGGAAGATGAGAAGGGCCGGATCTTCCTGACATGCCCAGATAGCTCCATGCGCGGGAATTAAACAAGGATTAGCCCCCAAACGTTATAGATGGAATCCTGAATACGATTTTAAGGGCATACAGCTTATGTAAGTGCTTTGGGTTCTCTGGGTGTAGCTGTCCCATGGAGGCGCATGTGCAACCATTGGCTTGTCCGGGCCTCGCTGTCTTGTCTGATGCAGCCCTGGTAGCGCACAATCCTGGATATGCAGTGGGCGGTGCCCAAGCAGGGCCGGCTTCGCATGCATGCTGGTGCTGCATACATCTATGATCATCTATGTAAACGCCAACTGCATTCTGATCCAGAGGGCTACCTCACGTGGTATGACGAGACAGCCAGGCCTGATAGATCAATGACTGTAGGTATGTGTACTATGCTGATAAACGTTTCAGGAGCAGGCGCTCATCCAAGAGGCAGGCATGCAACACCCGGGAGCACATTGAGTATGTAACTGGCAGCTCAACCGCGAGACAAAGTCTCCCAGCATACATGCATGCATACATATATATATATACACACACACATATAAAGACATGCTTACGTAATTACATTTGTGTGACTATTATACACACGTGCAACGAGACAAATCGATAGAATACATCAAACACCGTGCATAACATCTCGGAAAATACATTGACATACATGCACTCCAGAGGTGATTTACCCCTGCAAACACGCACATACACCGAAACACGCAAACACACACATTCCATGTGACTGCTGGTGCTGAAAACGAAATCGCGGACCCGCAAGCGCGGCGATGTGTCCTCTTGTGCTTGAGTCGCTTCAGTGTGTTGATCTCCTGTAGGAGGCCGTTGATCTCCTGTGGCCACAGACTTAAAACTCCGGGTCAAAGGTCTCTTTGCAAGAGTACATAAGGTCTTTACAGCCGTGGCTGACAGAATCAGCGGTGAGCATCATATCATGACTATAGTATATAGTCTTAAGCTATGTATCGGCAGAGATGTTAATAATTCAACGGAACAACAAGCATAGACAACAGCAGCGATGCTGGCAGCTGCTCCGTTATAACAATAATGGCATCGTACTTCCAGTGACAGCAGCATGAGCCGTAACAAACTGAGCATGGGAGCGCACACAAGATGGTCCATGACCTGCATGTACACTCTTATCTCTAATCTTCGTCCTTCTCTACCGCGTGCTGTCCAAGGGAGACGTCCAAGGAAATCTGCCAGAATCGGTTGACATAAGTCACACTCGATGCAGCTCGATTACCAGGCCCTCGCATTCGTCCAGATAGTCCACTATCCCCATCATCTAATCTGCAAAACGAAAACTGGGCCCGGCCTTCTTGACCGCCATGAACTTGCCCGCAACCATGGCTTTGAACCTCGCCAAGGGCATGACGCATTGAGCTTGGCAACCTCTGCCTGTACAGCTCCGTTGCAAGCTGGGGCTGGTACACTTCTCCATAGGCGCCCTTACCCAGTGACTCGCCCTGGCCAAACTTCCAGCAATTGCATGCACATGCAAAATACACAACTCATGGTGACACTAGTGACACTCAGGTCGCATGCAGCCACGGGTAGTGACTGGCGGGTGAGCGACCTGCTTGAACGCCCGTAATCGGGAATCCTGTCGACAGGTCGCAGGTTCTCTAAGGCATCGCTCGCCTGTCCCACACCCTTCAGGTTCGCTCACGGGACCGGATCAGCTCCTCCTCCACATCCAGGCGCTCGTAAGCCAGGGCGGACGGCGAGGCCTCGAGATTGCCCGAGTGATCTCTCTCTAAATTCAGCTTGCTGTGGCTATGGCTTGGCTGGAGCTTGGCAGGCATCACGCACTAACTCTCGGACAATGGGTTTTTGTCCATGCTTGATAGCTTGCAGCTCCAGCCATAGTGAGAGCGTGTCTTCGAGGGCTAGGCGCGGCCGGAACAAAGGCTGTCTCTGTGAGGGGATGGGCTCAAGGACCTCACCAGCGCATGGAATGCTGGACAAGATCGGCTGCTTTGGGAACTCCTTGGGCCATCTCTGCCGTGGTCCTAGGCATCGTGACAAGAAAGGCTCGGCAGGAGGCGTGCTGCCATTTTCAGCGGCTCCGCCCTTGCAGGGATGACAGATCTTGGAAACTCGGCGCAAGCGAGCATTGGAGCTGCTAACATCGACCCGCACTCGACGAATCCGAGACTACCTCGCCAGCCACAGTAGATACATGTCTCTGTGTGTGTATGTGTATATATATATATACATATATATATATAATGTATGTACACAAACATACATCACCAGCACACACACACACACACTCACACCATGGAAGCTGTATTATCTTGCATATTCTCATGAGTGTTGGGCCAAAGCTAGGCTCTGGAGCCTTGGCCACCCCTGGCAGACTTGGCGGCAGTGGCAAGTCGACCTGCGCAGTTGGATTCGGCATACCTCAGCCTCACAATGTGATGACAAAGGCAAGTACTTTGAGTTGAATTCTTGTGCTAAGACTAGGAGTCAGAACTAACCAGCAATCAAGACTGCCCACTCATGACAATATGACCACAGCAAGGCCAGTAGCACAAGCTACCAGCATTGTCGTCGTCGCTGTCGTAATGGCAGCAGCAGCAGCAGCAGCAGCAGCAGCAACAGTGTAGCAGTAGCCGTGGCTGGAGTAGCGGCAGTTGTCGTTGTCGTCGTTGTTGTTGCTGCTGCTGTTCTTCCCCTTGTTGCTATTGATGAACAGTGGTGGGAGGCGAAGATGATGAGCAGCATCAGTGATAATTGTGACAACATAACTTCAGAGTAGCGGCGATCTAATTCAACTGACATCAACCAACCATCGTCTTCAGCTGGATAAACATCAAGAGTGATTGTCACAGTCTCGTCACGGCGAGTACCAACAAGCATGAACAGCTGCTTCCCCTAACTCTAGGTTCGCTAAAGCCTTCAACACGGAGTCAATGCCAGAAGCAGAACCAGGCAACCGATGCTCTGCCCTGCACCTCGTCTACCGCAGGCACAAAGTCAGCCATCGCTAGCGTCGCAAAGCGCTAAGGGCGGTGAATCCAGGATCAAGTTGCTTGTGTTGATTTGGGTAAAGTATCTTGTGCCTTCATGAAACTTCGCGGGTTTCTGCTAATGTCTCAGACTTAGCACAGCGCTTTGCTGACGTCTCGGTGCTTCAGTTGCAGAGCAGCGCTAGGATTGCTTGCGGGTGTGACAGGTGCTGGGGTCTGTCATTCCATTAACTTCTTATAACAATGTGGCTGAAGCCAGAATTACCCATAAGATGCAGAAGTGGAGAAGCTTGTAGGCAGGCCCAGTGGCCAGATCGGAAGACACAAGCGACTACCACACCGATTTTGACCAAGGCCTTAAGGATGCAACTTTTCATTGTGTGACACAGATGAACTGATGAATTCAAGGGTCTCCTTGTCACATCCTTCGGTATTCTGCGGAGGCATAGTCTGCCGAAGGGTCAATCGAGACGGAATCCGGTGCTGGAGGGATCCGATCGCTTTCGCGAACTTCGACTTGCCCAGGCCCTGAGAATCGTCTCGACCCGTCCGTAGGTACGGACCGAACCGGGGGTCAAGCGGCGCGTCCTACGCCCGCTCCCTTTCAGAGAGCATGGGGAGCATGGATGGCGCAGGATGGCGAGTCGCATCTCGTGACTCTTCGCTGCGAATCGGCGAGGGCACAGCCCAGGCTCCGCAGCTGCACTTGGTCAGGGTTTCGCTGGCAAGCGCTTCAGCACGAAGATGCCCCCACGGCCGCCTGGAACAGAGTGATGACAAGAAGTGACAAAGCCTGCTGTTCTCAACGTCGGGTGGCTGCACCTCGGGAGATGCGAAGGCCTTTGTCGCAGAAGGTAGTTCGCAGACGTCCTTCAGGCCTCGGTTCGAAACGTTTCTCGATTCTCTGTGTATTCCCAAAACGGCGACGCTGAACCTGGCCTGGGCTTGGATTTGTAACTGCAGCAGGGGTGGGGTAGCCTGCTGCAGTGCATTGTTGCAGCCGCCACTTTTTCGTGCATGGTTAGCAGAACTGTAGGGACTGGCAAGAGTTGTGGCGGAATGGAAGTGGCAAGTGCTTTGGGGCTTACACTCATGTCGTGCAGTTGTTCCAGGAGCAGTGTGCTGCAGACGTGTTGGCTCTGGCGGTCTCAAGCACTCGAACCCTCAGTCTGCAATCCAGCATGCCGACAGGACTGGGAGCCAGTCGACCACTTCGAAAGGGGCTTGTCGGGAGGGATCTCTGCAACTCTGGCGGGCCCGAAGCTTAGGGTTTGGATGATAACGGGCCTGGGCAGAGGCAGCTCGATGTCCGGTAAGTTCGGCAACTTGAAGGAGAAACCTCAGAGAGAGGAGACTCAGAGGAAAAGCCCACACCCCTAGCTCAATTTCCCATATTCCAAAGTCATCAGCTGCTCGCTGATCCTCTGCATAAAGTAATGCCTGGAGCCTGAACATCACACCAAACACATCTAAACACTAAACCCTCAACCCCTAACCCCCTAAACCATAGCCCTAAACCCGTCACCCAAGCTCTTCACAGAACATCGATGACACACTTCTCAGAGCTCGGGGGCTGGTAAAGATGACGCCCAGGTCCAGGGCATCGCTCCCCTTCAGATCACCCTGGCAGTGTCCGAAGGCGGATCTGCGGGCTTGGAGTCTTACTCCCTGGCACCACCGGTCATTCACTGTCTTAATCACTAGTACAGAGAAAGACGCTTGGTGTTATGTTACAAACTTCTTACGATGGTCCGGGGCTCGGAGCTTGAGGTTTTCCGGAGCAAGGCATCTCAGCGCTGGCCTTCACGCGCAAGTCCAACTTGGGGCCGCTGGAGCCTCCTGACAGCCATAATCTATACAAAAACTGCAACTTAAAGTTATGGTTCATGATTTCAAGAATCTTAGGCACGAGTACGGTGCAAAGGCTCAACAAAACTAGTAAAGCTGCTCCGAAGTCACATCAGCAAATCACAGCATCACGGCCAACACTTAATACGCGCGTTTGTAATTCATGCCAATGTACTCGCAACCATGAAGATTATCGTTGCATAGTGTCACGTAGCGAAAATACCACAGAATGAGAGAAGAGGAGACATCACACCACAACCCAATGCAGAAGCCTTCACACACAGATTTAGTGGCGGACTTTTGATATCAACAATAATGTGCTGCATCGTGTCTTGTAGTATGCTCTGCCATTTGAGGGAAGAACAAAAGCCCTACACGCATTGTGTTCGGGTCCCATCACCCAGTGTCACCTAGCAGTCAATGGACCTGGCCGTTTCCCTGTCCCTGCACGCTGTCCAAAGCCGACATTATAGCAGAAGCTGTGAGGCTGTGAGAGACCCCGCAATCTGGATTCGCTCCGACACGAATGGCAACGCGATTGTCCACCCGCTTGGCTTCAAAGTCCTGAGGCAACAGCACTTGCACGGGAACCAGCGACAACGGAAAAATGGGAGGGGTGGCTGACAAGCTGTCACAGGCTACGATTATCAGTAGCTCAAGATCACTCGAATCATTTATGAGAGGGAATTTCTCGTAGAGGCTCTTCTGCTGGAATATTGCCTCCACCTAAGGCCAGCTCAAGATGTGAAGTGTGTTTCGGCGATTTCGGATCCGGGGTCATGAAATGAACCGATTCTGCTCACACAAAGCCCCACCACTACGACTTTGGTCCACGGGCACCTAATGAAATCCGATGCCACAAGACCTAATGACCACAGGTCGCGTTGCTAAGTCCAAGGAGCCACCAGCTGTTCATTGCCGACCGAGAGACTGGGAAATACAGGCCCAGCGAGCTCGATCTGCAAAGGCAGTCTTTGGAGGTCAGGCGACGTGCTTTTCAAGCATCTCAAGGCTTGTGCCACATCAGGGGCATGCAGGCAACTTCAGGCGTCCCAACCGAAGCTGGAAAGCTTGCCTTCGAGCTTCGCTGCGCACCCGCCAGGAACGGTGCGAAGCGGAAGAACACCTCCCAAAGCCGCTTTGCACGACAAAAAAATACTGACAGCTGTATAGGGTGATCTGGGGAGCAGTAGACACACCATGGCGCCGCATGCACGTTCTGCTGACATACCTTGACAATCTTCTTACAAATGATTACCGTGCGCCACATCAAGATTAGCTCATGACGCGTGCGATGTGCCCAATTGCAGAAGCTGGTCAACGAGACAAAGTGATGCCGTGGCGCTCGATACAGTGCTGCCGTGATCGTGGAGAAGGGGGTCTCCTGGTCAGAGTTTTCGGTTCTAAGACACAGTCTTTAGATGCGCCTCGCATTGCTTTGGCTCAGAGGTCCTCCTGGGTTTCTCCGGGCTCCGTCTGGGTGGAGAAGACCAAAGCCCACCGGCCCGGCACCTGGGAGCCGCCATCGGCCAAAAGCACACAAAAAGACAGAGGCCTTGTTGGGGCCTGGGCCCACTTGGAGGTTCATGGGTAGTTATAAGTAGAGTAACTAGGGGACGTATAACCCTACTTATAGCTAGCCCTGGACCTCCAAGCAGGCCAGCTGCAGAAGGCTTTGCTGAATGTGTGAGATGCATGTCCACCCGGGGCAAAGATCCAGCGAGTTCCCGCGACTATCGGTCCCCGAATCTACACGCTAAGCAGACGGATCCTTACCAAAGTCTCAGGCTCTCGAAGACCAGTTGCACAAAAAACAGTGAAATGCCATGGAACAAACTGCACCAACTCATACATGTCTGTGGGCCTCTGCAGCTCTCCCTGCTGTGGAATGGACTCAACAACATGGACCCACAGAGAACCTGTAATTAACAGACAGAAATCCTCGTGGCCCCCATCGACCACCCAAAGCTTTGGAGTCTGCAGTTGCTGCCTGTACATCAAGACGTGCGCACTTCGAATTTCCTGGTGAGGGGCCTTCGCCGAGTCACGGCAGCCTGTCTCCTCGAGCGCGGCTGCACTGCGGAAGATCGCGTCCTTGCAGCTAGGGCAAGCGGCTTCAAGCTAGATCAACAGCTTCAATGATATCCCAGATCAAGAGCTCCCATGATTGCAGTGGGCAGCGGTCGGAACACCGACATCCAAGTTGCATGCCAGTCCTGATCTTCCGTAGCCACTGCCCGCAAGAGCGACTGCTTTAGGCTCTCCAGCTGGGGTGTCTGATCCTGCCACACTTTGCTTCCTTCGAAATGTGTTACACGACAGCTTGCAGACATGTGGAGAGTGGACATCCTGGCGTGGCAACCAAGTCAGGCGTTGGATTTACGAACCTATCGGTTTTTCTACGGGACGGAGGCTGCCAAGCATCGCGCTGTAACGGCGACAAAAAAATTTTCTGCCCTTTTTGGTAACTGAGGATGGGGCTGGAGCCGGAGAGTCCTTGGTGAGCTTCTCGATGGACCCTGAATAGACGGGAGCGCTTCAGCTGGGACTGGGGGCGGAGTGATCTCCCGCGTGCAAATTCCGTAGATTTGCATCAAGACAATGCACGACATCTACCCGTCGTTTGTGACAGAAGCACTACCCGGCCCAAAACAGTAAGGGAAGCCGCGACAGTCATCTTCAGGTCTTATGATGAAAGGCCTGTTGGCGAAGCGAAGCTCCAGCCGGCAGACCACAGAAGGAGGACGCAAAGGGTGCGATGGAGCCTGGATGGCATGGGGGGGGTGCTCAGTCTGAGAAACTTCCCTCCGGCGCAGCTCTGAAGCATTCTAGCGTAGTCGACCACCTGCTAGTGATTTTCTTGCTGGATGTTGCTGGCATGTTTGTTTGCTTCCCTTTGCAGCTTGGTCTGTCCGATGTGTCTTGCACTTTCTTCCTAGGTCGTTGTCGATCTTCTCGGAGATGTCGTTTTTCTTGATTCCCTCTCCCTCTCCCTCTCTGTCGCTCGTCCTCTCCTAGCTTTCTCTCCTTCATACTGACGTGCATGTACAGATGCTGTCAAATAGAAACATGCATATAAAATCGTAGACAGCTGCATTGATTCTGATAGATGGATCTGCGCACGAATATCTTCTGTCTCCAAAACGCTCCGGCAACAGCGACAAATTCTGCAATCGTTCAAGACTCGTCCACACATGCAGGATTCAACATGCCTGGATGGGCGTGACCCACTTTCCAGGCAGGTGTCCATTGCGGATTCGGCTCTTGGAACTTCAACACGACTGTGACGGCGGAGAAGCTGCTTCTAAGCCATCGTCAGCGGGGTACCACGACTTTGCACCATGCTTTACTTCCAGCGAGTAAACAAGCTGTGCTAGAGTCGAGTTGTAGAGCCGTCGCTGGCTCTAGGTTGCAAAACCGCAAGCTTCTTCTCAGACTCAGCGGCGGTGTGGTGAGCAGGACTTGAACCGGTGATCTGAGCCGCACCAAGCGATGGCTGACTCCAGTCGCACCAAGCTCTCCCGTTCACCTCAGGCTGACTCCACCGGAATACAAATCACATCTTTTGTGCATTTTCTCACCGCGTGTTGGCCCGACGACGCTTTGCATCTTCTGCCACCACCGCCAGCTCCTGAACCGGGGGTCGTGCTGGCAAGCACGCGTCGGCGTCGGAATGAGTATGGAAACCGCCCGTAAGTTTTGCCGAGATTTGCTCGACAGGCTTCAGCACCATGTCTGCACAAACTCGAAGCCTGTTCTACATAAATCTGAATCCCTAGTAAGTAGTTCAAAGCAATTCTAATTCTGCCACAATATGGTCGGCGGCCTGTGCATCTGGCGCAGATCCTTCTGCTAGCCTTGAAATGTCTTATACCGTCGACGAGACGAAAGGCATTCGACTTGGCTTTGGCAATTTGGGGCCTGCAGACCCTGAAGGCCCTGTCCTCGCGCCCACGTTCGCGTGCAATCTCTCGGTACTTGAGAGTCTCAGCGCATGCGGGCTTTCATCTATGGCTGGATGCAAACCAACTGCGTAGCATAACGGATGACCGTAATGGCTTCAAGACGATTTCTCGTCAACCAACTATCGAGAAGATTGGCCAGAACATTCTTTTGATGCTTTTCTTTAACATTTTCACTTGGAAGGTGGAAGAGACATCCCCCGAAAGCCGTGAAAGTCATCAATGTCAGCAGACAAAGCGCGTCTCGGCTTGGTTGGCACTCCAGGCTTTCAAAAACGCTCGGAAGTCCACCTAAACTCAAAAAGCCGGGGTTTAGTGTTCCCTGAAAGCCCCGAAGCCCGAAACCTTCAGCCTTCCAACCGCAGAACCTGATTGCTGCAACGTGGCAACCCAAACCACGCGTTCAACCCGACATCTACCAACTCTAAAGCCCTTATCGAGGAGAAGCCCTAAAACGGGAGCCCTAGATCATGTCCTCTACAACCCCTTCAAGCAGCTAAGGATATCCCGGAGATCCCTCCAAAGGCACAGCTAGTTCAGTCAGGGGCTCAGTTGGACAGGCAACAACTATCGCGAGCTTTTGGATGCTGCTGTCCCATTCAATCTATACCGGGAAGGTATATGCATGCTTATGACAGTTTGTAAACTCCCATAGTTTATATATGCTGGCAATGATTTGAGCGTTTTCGCACCCTGAACCCGAAACTGGAAACCCTGCACAACCATGCACACCGTTGCATGAGATGTAGTCTAAACTCCTTTACATATCAACTTGGGCCCTATACTGGGAACCCTTTAGAATTTCATCCACAATTGACGGCTCACATATCGTTCCGTACCATCCGTGAAGGGGGCCCCAGAATCTGCAGAGAACTGAGACTTGGGCTCTGACGTGCGAAAGTCGCATCAAGGATGTTGTTCCTGACTCAGGGGCTTTGGGAAGGTGCAGGAATTAGTTCACAGAGGGCCGCTTTTCAAGATCATGGTGCAGAAGCTCGTCTTTCGCACCAAGTCTGCTGGCTTTCATTGTGGTGACCGCCCCCGTGCATTCACAAGAGGAGGAGCAAGAGGACGAGAACCGCAGCAATTACGCTCGCGCCCCCGCCCTGATGCGGGTCCGGATCCTGACGGTTGTACACACGGGGACTGCTCCGATAGTAGTGCCTTGGACGGTTGTAGGAGGGCCCGCTGTAGTAGGTGCGACCATGGTAGCGGCGAGTACGGCGCCGTACCCGCCTTTGACGGGCCATGTGGCAACAACTGCAGCCCGGATATGCCAGGAGGGCGCGCTGGGACTCGTCCTTAGAACCACTTCATGGGTTAATTACACTCTGTACATAATCTGCGAAGACGAGCGAATGATGGACATGGAACTGAAGACTGCTAAACTTCAGATAGGGCTCGCCCTGGCCCTGGCCCATCTCTGTCAAGCTGCTTTCATCGCCTGCATCCTTGGCATCCTCTGCCATTTTGGCGATTACTTGGGCATCTTCGGGATTCAAAGACCCCGCTGCTTCCTGAAGTGTGGCAGGGTCGATGGACGTTGTGGAAGCCCAGAGCAGATCGCACACCTGGGCATTGCTCAAAGCCACCAAAACAATGGGATCGCAATTACACGGATCCCCTACAGAATTGAAGCACCAACTTGAGAACTCCCCACCTGCTGTTGCCTCTTGGATTTTGACTCGATGTCTGGACACTCCTTCCCACCAAGAACCAGCATCTTGGCCATGAGCCGCGTGTTCGCCATGAACTGCCCGGTCAAGCTCATGGAGTCAATGCTCCAGGGCTTGTCTTCGTCGACCAGCACCATGAAGGAGGCAGTGAAGCTATGCTCCATAGTGGTCCAGTCAGGGCTTACCGTGTTGTCGATGGCTCTGGTCTTGAAATGCGCCGAGGGCTGTATATCTGAAGATTTCAACCGGACCTTGCAGTAGGGATCTGATTTTGAGAATTGATCCATTGAAGGCAATCCAGAAGCTTTGTCACAGGACACCGTCACAGAGATCGGAGCGCACTCCTCTGTTTTGCCTGGGTTACACAGCTTCTTGGCGCCCATCTCAACCTTTGTGCTGAACGTGACTGTGCCGATGGATCCCTTCTCGGCCTTCTTCAAGCTCTTTGTGCCACAATTCTTGTTGGGTCGTAACGGCAAAGTATAGCTGTGCTCTCCCAACGACAAGCCCACCCCAACTTCTCCGATGAACTGGGATCGGGTCACATCGCTGTCCCAGACCTCCACCATGATAGGAAAGGCACCAGCAGGGGCTTTGAAATCTCCCGTAACAAGGTTGCTCGCGGACTCGTCTGCCAGGTCATCGACACCTTCCAGAACGTCCATGGCACTCTGCAGGAACTCGAAGTCCTTCATCGTGGAACTCAGGAGGGACGCGCGCTGCATTGTCGTGAACATCTTCACAGGATACAAGGAGCGTATGAAGCCGGGAGACTCTGCTTGCTGATCAGTCAGGTACCTCGAAGCTTGAACAATTTCGTAGAGAGTCTTTTCAGCTCGCTCGAGCAAGATGGGATCTGCCACGAAAGGCTGGCAAGAGCATTCACTGGCTTCATCCTCAAAGGTGACGCAGGTGTTCACGTCACAGGCTGCCTCAACGCTCGCTTCCACCACATTGTCTGTCACGCGGTAGGACCAGGATCGGCAAGGCCCGAAGAGCAGCAGGGCTGCAGCCAAGACCCGCGCCATGGATTCTTATTTGCCACACAACTCTCAGAGTCTCTCTACCTTTTGAACCGAATGGCTACTTTTGCAAAAAAAAGCTCTCAAAGGGCTGCTCGCCCAAAATCTCACAAACTCACCTCTTGGACGATCGCCCCTAATGAGTGCTAGGATGTACTGTACTGTGGGGTCGAGCTTTCAGGCTGACTGGCCTGCATCGCGGGCATCCACCGGCTCCACCTCAAGACAAGTTCCCCGTTGCCGGGAAAAGGGGTAAGCAATTGCACACGCTTGTGGGGGGTGTCACGACCTTCCAGAGACATGTTTGCGTCCCGAACCTTTCTTCCCTTTGTCTGGGCGGCGGATCGGCCAGGTGGTCGGGTCGGATGCGCACACAGGTTTATACTTACGTATACCACGGTTCTCAAGAGCCGTGGCAGCTTTTGGATCCTAATGATCTGATGGCAGAGCCATAACTTTGAGGATACGTCGTAGTTGCCTGGTCGATTCCTTCACACGAGAATCACGGAGAGCGTGGATTCTGTTCCTGCTACTGCTTGTAGCAACTGCGCCATAAGCCGCCCAAGTCGCCTTGATGAAGACAGCATGCCCCATAACAAGTCACCAGACAAACTCAAATAAGGCCGCTCAGCACTTGGGACCATCCTCTCAAACTGGCGTCTGATGCCTGGTGTATCGTGTCCACGCTCACTCTCTGACATGCCAAGCGAGGTTCTTGGTGCGTAGTCGGTTGGAGCTGAGAGGGGTCTCGTCCCGCGAACCTCCGCAACCGTAACCCCGACCCGTCGACATCATCTTCCCAACTTCTGAGGTACTGGCATTCGTACAAGCACTTAGCATGGCAGCACAAGTGCCACCTGACCGTGAACAAGCGCATCGTCCCGACAGATACGGAAGGTTACTCTGCGAGACTACGACACCAAACGACACCATTCCACGACCAGCACCGTCGCGACGATCAGCTTTCACTATGCTGACTAACCCTATTCGCTCAAACAGGTAGCTTTTAAGCAGCTCGTTGATTCACTAGTGAATGAAGTAAACTGCTTGATTTCCAGATTACGCCACTTGTATTCAAAAACCCAGCGATATGTGCAAACTCCGCATTTGAGGGTGCACCGGCAGTGCACTCAGCACGCCACCAAACGTTCCAGCAGACTTGCGATCAGCTCCTTTCGACAGCGTGCATAGCACGGTCGCGCCAGTGGTTGATCGAATCCATCCAATGCTACGTCGCTTCACTGAATTACTGCACAGAGCGTACCACTAAGGGTTACCACAAATGTACAAAGTCGCATGTACAAAGAGCTCACTGCTCTTGAAGTCTTCAGTCTTCAAAAGGCCCCTGCAGGGCAGCCGTAAGCCATGGACCCTCCACCGCAAGTATCCATGTCAACATGATCATGGAAAGCATGCGCCTTCCTGCAGGCCATGGCGCCTGAGCAGGCGGCAAAAATCTTAAAAGCGTTTAAGATTTTTGCGGCCTGCTCAGGCGCCATGGCCTGCAGGAGGCGCATGGTGTCTATGATCATGCTGACATGGACACTGCCGCTGGTCCAGCAGTGAAAGCTGTTGGTCAGCATATATGCAGCCAGACTCGACCCCCGAGTTTCCAGTCACAAGCTCTCCAGCAGTTTGCCTCGGCCCTTGTCTGCGCCAGCCCAATGCCCTCAGCATCCTGACTGATAAGACCCCCAGTCTGGATCACGCACTCGTGAAGCGAAGTATCGCGGCCGTTGTTCCGGGCCATTGCGGACATCCGACCTTTGGCGCGTTTCCCCAGTGAGGCTCTGCTCCGCACTCTTCGGAAACATCAGACGCTAGTTAGTCTCGTGGGTTGGCGTCGGTTCTGAGTACATGGGAACGCACGCGTCGGCCGGCAAGTAACTGGCTTTGTCTCCACTCTCCACATTCGGGCCAGCACAGTGGAGGGCGACGGAGGAGCTGCCTCTGGAGCGTTGGTGAAGCAGG